ACATCAACCGAGAACATACGACCATGGCGTATACGTCGGCTTTGCAGCTCGGTGGTCTCTCTGTGCAGTCAAATTTCTATGCATGGGGGGGGGGGGGGGATCGGTGGCCGAGGGGGCTAAAGCGCACACCCAGCTCGACGCGCGTGTAGCTAAAGCTCGCGCTGCAGAACCCAGGGATCCTGGGCTCGAGCCCCACCCCTGCCCGTTTTGATCTGGATGAGCATCGTACCGGCGTGCGGTCGTGTATCACTACTGCGTGGTGCACGTTAAAGACCCCAGGCTAGCGGTTGTACTGCACTGGCTAAATTGCTCATCTACAGCGTGTGACTCGTCGCAACTTTAATGGCTGACCAACTACACGCTGTCACGCTGTACAAATATCCCCACAACCCCGATTATTATTTTATGCATGGGCGGCGCCGTGACTCCCAAGAATGCCTGCGCTATCGGTTGGAGTTAGTTTCAAGAAGGTTAAACAAAAAAAAAAAAAAAAAAAAACCTAAGCAACGAATGCACGAGAAACTGAGATGCCCGTGCGTTACGCAGAAACTTATCTGCACTCTTAAAAGTGTCCGTGCGTATTTACGAGTGTCTGAGAGTCAATGTCTGCAATAGCTGCCCCCCCCCCTTTCCCAAGCCCCCCGCCCCCCCCCCCCCTCCCCCAAAAAAGCGTTTTCAGTTTTTTTATCCCAAAAATAATCTACGGGTTGTTGAAACATTATTTTTTAGCCAAATGCAGCGCTATTGGTTCAAACCAGATGCCAAAATATCAGAACTAACCGTTATCGATTCAAAAGTTAATTTTCAAAGTGAAAGCAGCGGCCGATGGAGCTCTCGAATTCGTTGAGCTCAATGGCGCCATGGGACCAAAAGCAAGCGAAAACTTCCTCATTTTCCCGTAGAGTTATTATAATATACGCTCGAGGTTTAACTGGCGCTAGTATGCCGTAGCAAATTGAAGCAGACAGAAACCAGTCGATAATCGGCTTCCGGGACAGAGCGAGTGGATTTTCTCCCTGCGCTCGATTATAAGAGCAACTATCCCAAATAATTCATACGTATTAGGTAGCTTGAAGCATTTTTCAGTCAGAGAGACGAAATATTTGGTCAGGGCGTTTTTGCTTCAAATTCGTTGCATTAAAAACGGGGCTAAACCTGCATGGTACGTGTATTTATCTGCACTGTCGGACACTGTTACCGCGAGCTCGACGTCGGCGCGTTTGTAACGGAGGACATCCGGAAAATCAAGAGAGACGTCACGAATTACGCAGTAACACTGGGTCAGTAACTCGCTGTGCATGTTCGATCAAAATAAATTGAAGGCCACGTAATATAGTCCGATTTTCAATAAGTATAAGTACTGCAGCATTGTTTCTGCTCTGTGCGAAAATGAACGTTTTAGGTTCAAAACATCCCACGCAAGCCCGTAATCTTAGAAAACAAGTGCCTGATAAAAGTTGCCCGGCACAGAAAAGAATAAAAGGAGACACCTTTTATAACCCACCTACTGTATTCTTTACGTTTTGAATGTTTTCAAACACTCCTTAAGATGCAAGATAGGGTCACTTTGATATAATGACAGGACTGGCATATATCAATATACAAGCGTCAAAAAAATACTGGCGAGCTTTGAACAGACTCTATATTCCTTTCGACTGTTGTTTTGCTTACAGTCGATGCTTGCTTTTACACGCCCTCTATGAAACGCAGGTTTGGACCTGAAATATAGCAAAGATAAACATAGTTTAGTGATAAAAAAATGCGCTAACTAAACCAATTACACTATTACAATGTTCATTAGAGACATACTTTTCGGTACAACCCAAATGACAAAAGTGTTCCACGTTATTTTCTGGCGAAGAGACAAAATGCATGCGCGTCTCTCATAGGAATGCGCAAGAGCACCGCAAAAGTGGACTGGTTGCTGTCTGCTTCAATTTGCCTCCCGGAGGTCGCATAGACACTAGAGCCAGTTGAACCTTTAGCGCACATTATAATAACTCCAGGTATCTCCCATTGAAATTTTCTGAAAATCGCTTGTAACAGTTTAATTAGGTGTCACAAAAAAAAGGTTACAAGGTTTTCTTTACTACAAAAATAAACTAGGCATCGCCGAACGCTCTTTCTCCGCCCAAAGGTAGCGCTAGAGTTCACAACCAGATGCCAAAGTTTCAGCCCGAACGGACACATTATTTAAAAGTTATAAGTGGTTTTCTGAAAATTTCAATGGAAAAATGGAGCCCATTTTTGCCCGTTTTCGGTTTCTGGTGTCATAGAGCCCCATGTATTCGAAAACTCCGTCGGCCGCCATTTTCCCATTGAAATATTCAGAAACTCACTTATAACTCTTGAATAAGGTATCGGATCGGGCTGAAACTTTGGCATCTGGTTGTGACCTTTAGCGCTACCTTTGGGCGGAAAATGAGCGTTCGGCCACGCCTAGTTTATTTTTGCACTAAAAAAAAACTGTAAGTTTTTTTTCGTGACACCCTGTAGTTCTGTAATTTTGGCATCCGGGCTACGTTTGGGCAGAGAACAAGCGCCCGCGGTAAAAGATACACAACATTTTTTTTTTTTTTTTTTGGGGGGGGGGGGGGGGGGGCGACACGTTTTAAGAGAGCACGCGGTGAATGAGGTAGGCGAAAGTATATGTTTGACCTAACGATGACGCAATGTCGAAATAAAGGTGACGTGATCACATGAAACGTCGCACTCAGCGTCACATCAGAGAGCTCATCTTCTGACCTAAACCTATTTCCGACTGCTTCACTCGACGTGATACCTCCATAGATCGCATAGATTTGGCTCTCCGACCGCTCTGTATAGGAAAATAGACGAAAGGGCATTTTAAAGAGTCATTTATTTAAAACGTCATTTCCTTCTCCAGTCACATGCTTTTTTCTGCAGAACTACGAATGTAATACGAATGTAATACTGGAAAACTGCAGAAGGACGGCTAACACTAAAATTCCACAATATTTTTGTCTCTTTTTTTTATTTGTCGGTCGCCAAGCTGCGACAGTTTCTGCTGTGCATTTGGATAGGCGTAGTCTTCTTCTCTACTTCACGGCTTTCCGCTAGGTGGCGTTGCCTCCTCTGAAGTTGCAAATTGGGGCCGGTAGGTGCCAATAAAATCTGGACAAACTATTAATGGTACCTACCTCAAAGCGTGCAACTGTAATAAGATTCCGGCGATCTCGATCCAACCTAGCATGGTTCCTGTCTGATCCATCTCCTGCATAAGTTTATCTCCGAAATCTGTGCGTTGCTCGCGGCCTGATTCATCACTGTCAAGAGGCGAGTATTTTAATTAGCGCGGCTCGCTAGTTAAAGACAATGTTAATTGGGAACGTGATGTGTCACGAGCAGGTGAGGCCAATCACCTGCGGTAGAGGGTGAAACCGGCTTATGATGGAAGATACCCGAAGACAACCACAAAAGGAAAAAAAAAGTGAAGCTAGAGCGGTTGATTGCATTTGCTTTCATGTGCGTTACTTTAGTAGTTTTGCCGACGCTGGCGCCTTGTTGAGGCTATTATGTGTCGACGGAAAGACTAAAAAAAAACAAAAAAAACAACAACAACAAGAAACAGCCTTTACAAAAAAAAAAAAAGAAAAAATACAACGCGTAATTTAACGACGCTTTGGGCATGACGGAGCTTTGTTCTCGAGGGCGTTAATCCTGAAACAATAGCGTCAACTTATCTTTTCTTTTTTTACTGGCTTTATTTGTTTCGAGAATTCGCAGGAGCAGTTGTTTCCTGAAATTCATACATTGAAACAAACTACAAACAAGCTGTTTCTCACGTAGCATATGCAAATCGCTTTTGCATATCGAATGACAGTATTCCCGAGTGCTTGCACAAATCTACGTCGCCCAAATGACCGAAAGGTCGTTGCATTAACTTTCTTCATCCACTGAACCGGTCCTTTTGCGAGCTAAGGAGGCACCATCCTTTGTGAACGAACCTCGCACAACTGTTCTCTCCAAAACTACAGGAAAGCGTGCGAAGTTTTATATCTTTAGAACATGCCCCTTACGTGTTTATACCATAGAAACTAGACAAGGACAAAAAAAAGAAAAAAGGTGATAAAGAAAATAAACTTTGTTTTTAACAACTCAATTCTGAGTCGTGTTATTTCGGGGAGCTCGGTCGTAGAAACTGTAAGAACACTGCTACCAAGATCAACGTTCTCCACGTCCGGGGCGCCTTGGCTGACGCCCTGACTGCGCAAGCACGCGCAACATGCGCGTGAAGGCCGCATTGGTACATCTGACGTTACACGTGTTTTCTGTCACGGCCAAAAAAAATTACAACTGCGCCAGAAGTCATCACTGGCATTACACTGCTTTCTGACACGAGAAGTGATGTAATTGCACCCCTCCCCCCCCCCCCTTTTTTTATTTTTTTTATTCGTAATTTTAGAGTTTTTGGTACGTTCACGTTCGACGAATTCACCAGCGACAATTAACAGACTTTCAAGCGTGTGGCGCGTGCTAGCGCTTGCGGTGTTCATGCGCGTTCTCCGCCCAAACACTCCAAAGTTCGAACCGCCAATTTCAGAGAAAAGGCGGATAGCAAGTACTACGGCCCAACCGGTGCCCCACGCGTATAAGCACGCGCAACGTACGCGTGAACGTCAGCTTTTGCTGTGTTGCCGCACGAGCAGAGACATGGCGTTAGCCTAATGTCCTGCTTCGTCCGGGCCAGTTCTGCGGTACTTATTCTTTTTAACAAAATTACCAGACAGACTGGGACTTAAAAAAGTCGTTTAGGTGTTGCCTTCAATTCAGTAGAAGGAAGACGACTTCACATTTCGTTGATAAATTTAACTTTAGAGTAGTGGACGGGCCGCAACGACGACAATGATTATGTTACTAGAAAGCCGCGAGGTCCCTCGGCAAGCACGTGCCTCGCCGAGATCGAAGAAGCGTTGCAGAACAGCATGGGCGCTCGCAGGGCGGCCAAGCGTCCCGGTCGTTCCTCGTCCGCCTCGCCGATGGCGTTGCCGCCGATGGAAGATGTTGCCATCAACCGGAATCCTCAGTGCCGCACCAGCAGTGGGACGCCTCAGCAGAAGGTCGCTTCTCAGCCACCCGAGACGCAGCGACACAAGGCTCAATCTTTGGCCGCCGCCACGAAGGGTAAGAACAAGTCCAAAAGGCGGCATCGTCACATGTACGCGACGATGATACCACGAGGCCGATAATATATGCCTCGGGCTTCAGGTAGCATTCCTGGCGGCGGTCATAGCCGAGTACGGGGTGGTCGGGGATCCCGCCGACTTTTTCGCAGAGTGTCCAACACAGAGCTTCAGATTACCGATCTTGGCGGACGGATAGTGAAAAGCTGTAAAGACCGCGTCCAAATATATGTCGTCCACTAAATACTATACCTATGGCTGAACAACGACCAGGCGCTGTATTCGAGCCTGCAGGAAAAACGAGTGGTTAATCCGGCCCTTTCAAATTAAACGCCCGAAAACCTATACAGCCCTTATTGTAAGATGCTCCGTGGCAGTTCCACGTCGCTGCTGCTGGGCCGGCTTGTTGTTCTTGTTCGCGGTTAAGGCCGGTTCAGACACTTGCGTTTGAGTGCGTTTGACTGCGTTGCGTCGAGAACCGAAAGCGAGTCACCGGCACATCTGTGCTTCGTATGAAGCGTGGAATCCAATACAAGGAATCATCTTGGCACGCGATATGAGCTGCAGGGATGTCTTGGTTTCTCGCTGCCGCAACGCAGTCAAACGCAGTCAAACGCAACTGTCTGAACCAGGCGTTAGATTAGAAGCTATGCTTTCAACGCGAGCTCGCTGGCTTCCGCGGTGCCTTGGTTGCGCGTGCCTGAGCGTTCACGCTTGTGTTAGCAAGGGCAGAAAGCTCGCGCTGAAGGCGGAGCTTCCAGTCTCAGGTTAAGGGTGAACGGAGTGTAGAAACAGCGTCTTGGCTCAGACTGGGTGAAAGGAAGCCCGCCAAGCGGGCGGGCGAGTGCTTGAGACTCGACTTGAGACGCCACTCCACTCGTGCGCTAGCTTTGGAAGTGCTTTCTTTCACTCTGTCTTAGCTGAGATGCTGCTTCTAGAAAGCCGGCTATGGTCCCGGTCACGGCGACTGACAGTGCCGTCCTCTGTGTCGCAGACTGGAAGTGGCTCGGAATGTTCACGCCGCCGGACAGGATACGAAACCGTATACCTGGCCTCCTGACGAGGGCTCTGCCCATCTACCTGATCCCATTTCTACTCGGAGGCAATGTAAGTACACTACAATGTTAAAGACAACATCACAAATATTTTGGGACTTTTTGCTTTTGATAAATTAACGCACTAAATATGCAACGTGCGGACATATATTTGTTTCTAAAAAAAAAAAAACTAATATTGCTGTTTTTACAAAACCCACGATGTCTGTAGCTCTCACGCCTTGGGCAGCGCCACTCACGAGAAAAATCGGATATTAGCGGCTCACGGCGTGCGAAGCACAAATGTCACTGTAACTGGAAGCTGTATCTCAACGATACGTAACCAAGCGTGCGGCGTGCGGACCTAAGGACCAACACATTTCTCACGCCTTGCAAAATTTGAACTCTTAACGTACAAACCTGAAATTTGGCACGGGAACGTAATAGACCCTTTTAGAATTTCAGTCTGGCCACTTCAGTAAGTACCATCATTTAAGTCCATATCCACTGTACATGCTTATGGCGGCCTTTTGGTGGCTGGTGAAGGAAGAATGTAAACAGACAGGCACCGATGCGGTGCCTGAACATTCCAGACTGTATTGCTCGATGTCACCGTGACAGTCTTAGAAGCTTCTATAAGCTACGCATTGGAGGGGAAAGGGGGGGGGGGGGGAGGGTCTTATAAATTCTTGGAAGGTTCGCTTCGCCACTCGCCAGAGAACTCATGACAATAGAATGTGGTGAAATGTATCAATAGGTTTACTCACCTAAGGGCTTCGTACAGATCTGTGGTACACACCATTGGGAGTGAAACAAATCGAGAAATATCTGCACAGCGAAGGAAACCGTAACTCTCGCAGGTCTGCCGTTCGCGGATAGGTACTCAATTTTATTAAAACATATAAAATAGCGCAAAAAAAGACAAGGACAACAAGTATGCAGGACAAGCGCTACCTTTCAACTAGTTTTATTCAGGAAAGGCAAAGCATATATACACACACAGGCGAGGCAGCAGCACATAAAAGTTGATCAATTTAGTGCCCGATCATTAAAAAACTGAAATTCATTTTCATGAAGCACAATAGAAGTGTCTCTGTCGAAGTACCGCCACTAGCATACAAAAATTTAGACTGATATTTGATCCACTAGATGGCACTGACTTTGTGACACAGTCTATTTCTCAACACGTTTTATGTCTATTTCTTAGAGCAGAACTTGGAGGTAGTAAAATGTTAAAATAAGGAAAAATCGGAGGCCGTGTATTTCTTATATCCTATACCAGACTGTTTGTCGCCTGCACACGTGTTTACGAGCTCGTTCCCAGGTGGCTTGCGGAACACAAAACCGCTAAAGACCAATATTAGAGGCTGGCGATGAGCAAGATAATCGCGAAAATGAATACTTTGAACGAAATATATGGACAATGACCACCTGGGAAAAATCTCAGAAACCAATGCGCAGACGACGAACATCCAGCAGAGGGCACAGGAAATGCACGGCCGCCGTTTTTGTTGTATTTTTTTTTTTATATTTTCCACTTCTGACTTTAGCAGACGAAAAGAAAAGCATAAAACATTTTTGAAAACCATGTTTCTTTGCATTAATCTGGTATGTTCGTTGGATAATTCGAATTTTGAAAGGCGTGCCAAATGAGCTGGCTTTTACGGCAGCATCCTGTATAAAACTCGACACATTCAAAAATGCCCGTTTTTAAGCCTTCGCGCAGAGCAACCTGAGGACCAATAATACTGTGATCTATGGAGAGAGCTCGGTGAATGAAGACTTCAAAGTATGTTCCCAACAAAGTACCTTGACACCTTCCTTTACGAGTAACGACAAACAGCCGGCACGAAGAAGCACGTATTGCGGGTGAAAAATGCCGTCTTTCAGTTTATCGTGCTGCTGCGTGCTGCCATTCGCTTTCTAAACCCTAGCTGCTCCATCGCACCGTTGGTGCTTCAAAGAATGTCGGTATTTGTGCAAAGTAAAGCCCTTAGATCCTTTCATTTTGAAGTATTTGCAACAAACGGGCATGACAAAGTGCATTCCGCAGGAACATAATAGCGTCACGTAGTTTATCCAGCTGGAGCGCGCCGCTTTTCATTTCCTAAAGCCTACACTACGTGACGCAGTCGGCACTTGAGAGAATGCCACTACTTTCGAAAAGTAAAGTCCGTTTATACCTGATCTTAAATACGATATAATCTAATACTGGAAGTAACAAGAGACTTTACATACATGACATGACACGACATGACACGACCTGCGTGCTATGTATGTATGTCTAGCGCACACGCGCTGAAGGCGTTGGTGACCTACTCTTGCCCACCTCAGGCCACCAGGAGCCTCTACTGCATCCTGGTGACAGTGGCGTCCATGGCGAGTGACGACATACCTGTGCCAGTGACGGCCTTTGTTCCCATCGTCCTCGTCCAGCTCACGGGCCTTATGGAACCGGAGAAGTTGGGCTCCGCCTTCATGAACGTGAGCCGTGCACCAAGCCCTCTCGATGCTCAGCGGTCGCCGTTCGGAACTCGCTTCGAACCAAGCAGACTCGGAGTTCAATTTAGTCCATTACGCCGTCTGCTTATTAACGCCTGTCCTTCTTTCAGTTCAAACTTCCTCACAAATTACAAGGTCTTTTTATTTTAATTGAATTCCCTGGTTTATGCACTATCTTTAATGCGGGCTAAAGTAGATATGGACGCAGAATAGTAGCAGCGAAGAACTGGTGTTTTTTTTTGTAGCTAAGTTCATGTACGAATGACGGTAGAAAACGTAATTCAGAAAATGGCGTCATTCATTGCTGCGGCTTGAGACGCTGCGTTCGCGTATACGTTTATTCAGCAGACGCTTCGTCGCCATACAGACAGACTTTATCGTCTAGAAGAAGATGGCGGTGTGGCACAATCAGGTGCGTTCTTGGGCTCTTTCGCCGCGCTTTTCAATGAGTAGAGCGTGAACAAAAAGAGCTCAAAGCAAGACCTTAACGCAGATTGCCAATTGTTTATAGCGCGTATTTTATAGCGCGTAAGATATTGGAGGGTCCTACACGAAAAACATGTTTCTTATAACTACCCTGAGGAAAATTCTTTTTTTTTTTTTTGAACATGAGGGTAAAGTATTAGACTGCCCACTGAATATACAGGGAATCCGCTGCAAAACATTGTCGAGAATGGCCATCACAGTAAAACTTGCCCCAACTTTCGCGTCAACGTTGCCCTCGTCGCCGCCCTCCCGCAGTTGGAAGTGCTGACTGCGTCGACGCTCTTCGTCATCGTGATTGCGGGCGACCAGACGCCCGTGTTCTCGCGGGTCGCGCTGCGCCTGCTGTGCACAGTGGGCTTCCAGGCTCCGCTGCTGTTCGCCTGCCTGATGGCGGCCACCTTGCTAAGCACTCTCCTGGTGCCCAGCGGCTTCGTGGTGGTCCTGAGCACCATCTTCGTCGAGCGCTTCATGAGCACCGTTGAGGAAGACCTCTGGGGGACCGACCTGCAGCGCTGGTCGAAGGCCTCCCGCGCGCGCTACAGCAGCGACATTACCGACCACTCCGGAGACACGAGCGCCAAGACAGGCTTCAGGCAAAAGGTACAGTCTCCGGCAATATGAAAGACCCACTGGGAGCGCGTGGCCGAGGCGGTGGCTGGCGGGGGCGCTGCGAGCGCTCCGGGCAATTCCATTCTGCTTCGAGGGGAGGACGCTCACTCGGGACTCAGCACAATCTGATAAGCGCGTTTCGCTTTAGCTGAGCCCGAGTGAGCGTTTTCCCCTCGAAGCAGAATGGAATTGCCCGGAGCGCTCGCAGCGCCCCCGCCAGCCACCGCCTCGGCCACGCGCTCCCAGTGGGTCTTTCATATTGCCGGAGACTGTACGTATGCACTCCTAGCGCGACACTGGTTGTGTCAACGAGCAATCACCATTCTGTCATAAGTTTCTTTTCTTTTTTTTTAATTGGATGATTTTAGTGCGGAGGAAAGTACTTATTTAGGGCAATAACCTAAGTAGCAGTGTTGGTGGTGACGTTTTACAACCAACAGCGTTACAATAACGTGTTAGATTTTTTTCTGTAATATAGTAACGTACTCGTTCCGTTTTCGAGACAGCAACGGATAACGTTCTTACGTTGCTTATTTTCAGTAACAGGTAAAGTAGTTAGGTTACTTGTTACATCTTTCCAAGACTTAGAAAAAGTACATTTCTATTATTTTTGTGCTTCTAGGTCTTCGGTGATGTGAATTATTGAGCTCATTCCAAGTACCTCCGAAATTTCGTCTCTTTTTTTTTCCCCCACACAAACACTCTCACATTAGAAAACCCATGCTTTCATTTTGCTCCACCGTCGAAAGACGCTGTCCCCATCAAAGCCAGTGAACGCAAATGGCAGTAACGCAAAAGCTGCGTGGGTTTCTTTTCAGCGGTAACAGTAACGCGTTCCTTTTTTTTAGGTGACGTAGGTTTGTAACGCGTTCCTTTTATTTGCCATTTATGAGTGACACTGCAGCACTATTTAGGGCAACAACCTAAGTGGTAAATTTTGGTGCCCTTCAATACACCATCAGAGTAATAACATGTAGTAAGGCGCCGATGTCTTGTTTGTGCTAACAATGTCGCGCAGTGAACATGACCAGATACACTTTGCGCGAATGAGCAATCTTTGGTTTCTCCTGTGTTCCCTTTAGAACTAAAGTTCTGTCGTGAAAATTGCTACTGTGTTATGTACTCACTCGGAACTACCTAAGCGCAGTGTCGTCGGCGCAGTGATCAGATGGCTGTGCCATTTGCACCAAACAGCGCCAAAGCGAGTACCCTACTATACATCCTGCTACGTTTTGCTAAAATGTGAGAAATTTGCGTCAACATTACGCCAATATTTATTTTCGCTTTGTCAAGACTGAAAATATAATAAATCAGGCCCCGCTACGTGGCCGAAATCTTTACGGTAGGCCTGTACGAATTTCCAGAACTTTCGATTATGTTCTCAAATAAAATCATACCTGATGTGATCACTGTAACAACCATTGACAGTACTTGGAAGTTTAGCACTATTTCTCATGTTCGTTATCTTTTCTGGCTGGTTGATTAGTTAGCTTCGTTGAGTGGGCTTGTCACCGCGCAGAGGTATGTACTGCAGGGAAACGACAACCGCCTAGTAGGCATTGCGAGTCTGTATATCTTGCTTCGCCGCAGCGCGCCCGAATGATAAGGGGAAAGTACTTCATCAGAGCGGGATGGTATACACACGGTTCCTGATTAAACTGTGGCTAGTATATACCGGGTGATTTTTTTTTTTTTTTATTCGAACAGATTTATTACAAGAAATATGTAAAAGATGCACTTCTGCGGTTTATGCAGGTAAATTATATCGCCCGGAGGACATTATGTGGGTGGCTAATCTTTGCGATAAGTCGGCTAATTAATTAAAGTGTGTTAATTAACTTTTCAATTAGTGAGAATAAACATATGGTTCCAATTAGAAACTTAGAGAGCGCCATTGAAAACCACTAAATTAACTCTTTTTAGAACGACTTGAAGCTCGTGGGAAACTCGGGGGCGTGCCAAAATTAACACTCGAGAAACAGGCGCAAAGCTGGCAGTTGCGGAACGCTATAATGATCTAATCATCCGCGTTCGGTCACTGCTGGCTTTCCGCCTGCTTCACGAGTTGTAACTTTGGCGCGCCGCCGAGTTTCCCGCGAGCTTCAACTCGTTCTAGAAAGAGTTGATTTAGTGGTTTTCGATAACGCTTTCTAAGTTTCAAAGTTGAACCATATGTTTATTTTCACAAATGAAAAAGTTAATTGACGAATTTTAATCAATTAGCCGAATTATCGCTAAGATTAGTCACACACATAATCTTCCCCTGGCCGTATAACTCACCTGCACAAACCGCAGATGGGAATCTTTTACGAATTTTCTGTAATAAATATGTTTTAATTAAAACAAAAAAATCACCCAGTATAACAGATTCCGTTAATCTGACGCTATCTTTATTTTTTCCCCATTTGGGTTTCATCAACGATGCTTGAGTATTGCGAGAAAACTTTTATGGGCTGTTCTTTATGTTTAGTTGTTTTAAGCTTCATTTAGTTCTTACTTCTGTCTAGGTTTCATCTATTTGATGGCGCAGTAAATACAGAAATTGAAAACTAAGTTAGCTGGAGCAGTAAATACAAGTTTGGGAAGGACCTTAACGAGTTCGGCGGAATTTTTGTTTTAAGAAAGCATAATTATCGTTCACATGCTGATTTTTGTTATCGTGAAGTTCTGCATATAAAATCTTATAGATCAGTGGTTCTCAAATGGGAGTCCGCGGACCCTTTGGGGTCCGCGATGGCACCCACGAACCCCTGTCTCATCAGTCAAGCACGGCAGTATGAATTGTCTTTTTTCACATTGAGAAGAAACTTTTCAATTTTCGGGTGAGTTCTTTCATGTGTATGTCATTGAGATAGGTCTACTTCACACTAGAAATTAGTTATATTCATTTATAAAATTATTATCATGATTAATCTATACCTTTCTACTCTCCTCACCCCACACGGGGTCCTCCACCATCTCCGCCAGTCTACAAGGGGTCCGCGAAACATCAATGGTTGAGAACCACTGTTATAGATGTTCATAATCGAATAACAAAAGCTTTTTTTTTAATGTAAATTTAAGAAATTCAATTTTATTATAACCTTTAGAACTCGAAAAAAAAATATAAGCTTGGGTATTCGAAAATATTATATTCCAAAACTATTTCAGTAAAATATTATGTTTGGTATACGTTCGGTTTCCACCTGAAAGAATTATGCACATCGGCTTGTACTTCTACAGCCTTTCATCAGTCAGCATCTAGTTTTTGTGCCTTGTGTTTCTACGCGGAATTAAACTCCTAGCTAGAGGATCGAAAGGTTGCACAGAAACAGCTAGGCAAAGCAGACACAAACGTATAAATCTTACCATACTAATCGCACTGGTACAAATAAAAATAAAATGTACGCATACGCTCCAATACTTAGTTTTGCTGCTCCAAAAATAGACTTTTTTCCGGCTCCAAAAAGTGCTTCAAAATGACTCAGACAAATCACGTCACAGTAGGCGTTACCGAAAAATAAAAGTACCCAATTACGAGGTGTGATCAAAGCGTTCCGGCGAAAGAAAAAGCAACACAGTGAAGCACGCGCAGCCTTCGAAGACAGGGACCTTCCTGAGTCAAGATATCAAAGGGCGTCGCTCTGTGAAAATTTGGAACTGCGCTACACGAGTTTGTTTGACCACATGCATGAGCATAATGACGATCTCTCCACAGATTGCAAACCAAAGCGAGAGCGAACATAAATTTTACGACAAACTCGGCAAATCTAAAACAGAGATCTCTGAAATGATTTAGAAGGCTTATGTCAAAAGAAGTTAGGTACCTCACTTCTTTTTGACATAAGCCTTCTAAATCATTTCAGAATCTTTCTAAATCTTTTTTGACATAAGCCTTCTGTTTTGAGTGGCACTCGCACCTTAAGAATGGCAAAACGTCACCGAAGTCAAGGAGCGGTCGGTTAAGGTCGCCCTACCGCTCTTCGTGTTCCAGCCATGCTCTGACGTTCCTGAAGCGTGAGTTCCGCTTAAAACATTTCGCAAAATTCACTGTTTTTTGACACAAGCCCGCTGAATCATTTCAAAGGTCTCTGTTTTATATCTGCCGAGTTTGACGCAGAATCGATGTTCGTTCTCGCTCTGGTTTTCAGTCTGTGGTCAAATTACCATTGTGCCCGTCCACGTGGCCACGAAAACTCGTGTAGCACAGCTCCAAAGGTTCACAGAGCGACGCCCTTTGGTATAACGAGACACAAAGGTCCCTTTATTCGACTGCTGCGCTGTGCATGCCCTCTCCTTTTACGCTACAAAATCAGTCTCGGAACTTTTTTATATCAGACCTCGTACACTACTCGCTACTTGCAAATAAAAGGAACGCGTTCTGCGTTACCTCAAAGTGAAAGGAACGCCTTACCGTTACCGATAAAAAGTAACGCATATAAATTTCGCGTTCATTTTTATTTGTTGATGAACGGCGACAGTGTTTTCTTACACTGGGACACAAAGCGTGGACGTTGGGGTTTATTCAGAGTGGCAGTGTTTGTGTGGGGAAAAAAGAGGCAAAATTATGAAGGATGTGGGATGAGTGCAAGAATTTTGCTTAGAGCCTCGAAACACGAAAAAAGAAAATTGACGTACATTTTGATCTTTTTTTTTAAGCTTTGAGAAGAAGTTGTAACGAGTGACTTAACAATACGTGACCCGTGATTCGAGATAAGTAACGTAAGTACGTTATCCGGTACTGTTCAGAGAATTTAACAAGTAAGTTACAACGGTACCAGAAAAGAAACGCATTACCGGTAACTTTGTTACGTTTAACTCATTCCCGTCAACACTGCAGTCTAAGCGTCAAGGGAGGTGTATTTTGCACGCAGAGGCTTCGGGTGAGTCTGGGTCCTGGCTTCGAGGTGGCCACGTTCAGCCCGGCGAGGGACGGTGACACGTTCGCTCAGCCAACCTGCGAGTCCAGGGAGTGGGGATCGCCCCCCTTCCTGGACATCGGGCCCCTCCTCGTCAAGCAGTACAAGGTTCATCAGCCAGCGCCGCTTCTTGGCATCGAGGACGATGTACAGTGGCCCAATTTTTTAATATTATCAAGCGAGCGTCGACCGCCGGGACGGCCAGCGCCGTGCCGCGGAGGCGTGCGGCGAAACGGGAGAGATTAAGTGCGTGCGCACAGAGCCCCTTCTGGTAGCAGCATCGTCTGCTAGGCTATTCCGTTGGTCGCACACAGGCCCTGCTCCGTCGCAAAGGAGGGCAGGGCGCTTGCAATGTCGAAGTGCGTCGCCGATACGCCCCTCCTCTTGGAATCCGTTCACAATCATATTGACGGTAGCCTGTATAACTCCGACTGTTGTTGCTATATCCATTTGCGTCATACCTTCCATCGACATTCTCACAACCCGTTCCCGTGTTTCTGTAGCCACTCGAGGAGGCAACAAAGTTGCGCGCGCCCGCTTGTCAAAAAAAAGTGTGACTATGGCCGGCTACATAGGCTAGATGACGACAGCAACAACGTAGTTGATAATACAAAACACCAGGCGGAAACCCTGTCTGTACTCCGTTTTACTTTGCTTTGTACCGCAGCCGACGCTACGAGCCATCCTGGCCAGTCCGTCGCTAAAAGTGTGTCACGTGGTCTCCCCGTTGGGTAAGACTGCATGTGAAAGCACGATGTCACGCGGCAGGGTGAAAGCCCTGGATTGGTTGTAATGCATTGTTACATTCAGTTTGTCGCGTCACGCGTCACCGCATTTTTCATTTTTGTTGTTGTTCACAAAAGTAAACGCACACATGAAATGAAAAAAAAAAGTAAATTAAACTCGAGATGACGCGCGGTTTATGCCACGCCTGAGCAGTATCGAAAAGAAAATAAAAGCAAGCGCTGTTCAGATCTTTGCTTAAAGGCGGTTAGCTATGCAGCAGATGATGAACAGGGGCTGTGTGCGGTCAACGGAATTGCCTAGCAGACGACGCCTGCAACGAAAGGAGCTTTGTGCGCACGCGCCTAATCTTTCCCGTTGCTCCGCCTTTCCCCGCGGCACAGCGCTGGCAGTCCCGGCGGTCGACGCTCGCTAGATATTATTAAACAATTGGCCCACTGTACGTCCAGCTGTAGCTTTGTTCGCATTCCTCCAAAACCCGAACCGAAAGCTCGTTCCTCGTTCTCTCTCAATCTGGGGGTGAGTTCCCGTTACCAGATCTTGTGCTTCGAAAGGAACGCGTTCTTGTTACATTTTTTTTAAGATTGGAACGCGCCGTTACATGTTGCACTGCATAATACATGAAAAAAAAAGACGCGAGCAAGTAAATATATTTGCATTGATCTAAGTTTCGAGTCGCCATAATCACATTTGTTCCAGTTCTTTGTTTTCGACTCTCTCTCTCTCGGACACTTAACCATCTCTTGAAGTAAAAGGCGCAAATAGTCCATGATAAAAAATCCTAAATGCCTACTAAATTTCGGGTAAAAGGACAAAAAAAAAAAAAAAACGCCGTTTTTTGGAAAACGTAAGGAGTTTCTGTTCCAGTTCCACCCATGCAAGATGGTGGCGTTCCTGTAGGGCCCCTAAAAGAGACTCGTTCGAGGAACGTCGCTCCTTGGAACACCGTTCTGTACAACACTCCGTTCAAGTAACCAGAGTCAGGGTCGCAGCGAGCGTAACCTGACCCTAGCAATAGAGATAGTTGTCGGTGTGAGGAGCGGAGACGGTGATCTGGTCTAGACCATGGCGCTCTTTTCCTACCCCAAACACTGGGGTGTCAGTTGAAAAAAATAAGGATGTCAGATCAATACTGATTAAGATGTTTTAGAAGTTCAAGTGGGTATACAAAATAAGAGAAGGCAGTATCGGGAAATAATAAACAAATTTAACCAGCAAACAACTGTTTCTCGTACTCTTGGAACGAGAAAGTAATTTATAGGACAACCGCGACAATTTGGACTGCCGCACCGCGATGTCTGAAAGACTGACTGTGACAATGTAGGATTGTCTTCCGCAGCCAAGACTATACTTGTGTTTGTGGTCAGTGTGTAAACATTTTCTTTTGGCTCGTTTTTTTTTGTTTTTTTAATTGGTATAAAGTTGTTTTTTTTATGCACCAAATTTGAATGCCAACAAAATGGCTAGACAACTGAACATCCGGACTACATGGTTAAAATAAACCAATTCTTGTTTAATTTCCCTCGATGACCAATTTGGCCGACATATGTACAATATTGATCCAGCGCCGATTACACGTAGAAATACGTGTATATTATTATGCAAGGATCGATTGACGTAAGATTTCAAAGCCAGCCTCCGGTCTTAAAGGGTGTGTAATATATGGTATCACGGCAATTATAATAAAAATATTAATATTAAAAACTTTTTTTTATTTCCCATGCATAAATGGAGGGAACAAGGGGGAAAAGCTGTAAGGCGAAAGCTCAAACACGTCTCCAGTAGTGTTAAGCTCCTCGCATACAATACGTTCATCAGGTCAAAACTCGAATTTGCATCAGTCATTTGGGATCCCCACAATAAAAAAGATATCCACCAGCTTGACCTTGTACAAAGAAAGGCAGTTAGGTTTATACTTAGCAAATACAATAAATTGGACTCGCCCACTGAACTTATGAGGGATAACCAAATACCACCTCTCGATACACGTCGGAAAATGAGTCGTATTTTATTTCTTTACAACATCCTGACATCCAAAGCAAGCTTAAATACACTCCCACATCTCAACCAATTAAGTTAAAGAAACACGACACACTAGGGATCACGCACTACAGCCCCTCTTCGTAAAAACAAATGCCTTTAAGCACAGTTTTTTTAATCGCACTATTTCGGACTAGAACTTGCTACCAGAAACCATTATTCAGTCAGCCAATTTCCTTCAGGTATTAGAACGGTACTTAATTCGATAATGCATTCCGCACCAGCGGTCTTGTCTTCTTTTGTATTATTGTTTTTGTTATTCTTTCATGTGCACCCATATGTTGTATTTTTTTGCCCCTCCTGCTTGGGCCAGACAACTGGCCTGCAGTATTGTAAAATAAATAAATAAATAATAAACACCTTGACGGAGCCCTATGCTCCTTTGCCGTCTCATACAGATGTCAAAAACAAAGCAGCAGCGTAAAGCAAAACAGCGAGAACACCAACATAACAAAGCTGGTTTTCTCAAACATAAACACGTGTCATTAATTGATTTGTTCATTTTCGTCCGTTCATAACGAAAGTGCTGCGATGTAATATAAACAATATCAATGTTGATATTATTTCTATTGCCTTGGTTCCTCGAAAAATAATATTTTTTTAATGATTTAATGCTCGCGTGCCATTGTCGACTCGCAAAATGGAGCGTATAGCTTCTCCGATATCGTAATCTGACTGAAATTCGCTCCTACGGCGACATCTCTATATGCTACCCGGAACACCACCGGTTGACGTTAAACAAAGCTCAATGAGACCTGGCATTTTCTGCGCCCATACTGATGATGCCTCCCGCATGGGGGACGAATCGTCCGACGAATTCGTGTTGTACCACAGATAGGTTTTGCCAACTCGGTGTGCCTATTTTAGTTGTGATTCTCCGCCCGTTTTGAAATATTTTAGGGACCCCATAGAGCAGTCAGGAAGGCTTCGTTCGACCCCGTCCCACTGAGGTCGGTGCCTCAACTACCCATCCGCCGCATCCAGTCCTTCTCGGGGCGGGGAAACGTCAAGCGATGCTCCATCCTCAAGGACACCAGGACGGGCGAAACGGGGGCGTCGCCAGACCTGTCTCCGACGAAACCCGACAGTTCCGGAGGAGACAAGTACGGTCCGAACCATCGATCCAGTTTGCACGGAAGCATATAAAGGCCCGTTCACACTCTTGCGACCGACTTCGACCGAGAGAGACCAGACCGGTTTTTAAGCCTTTTGCGACTTCTTAGGACCGGATGCGATGCAGCGGAGCTGGTCCTAGGAAGTCGCAAGAGGCTTAAGAAGCGGTCTGGTCTCTCTCGGTCTAACTCGGTCGCAGGAGTGTGAACGGGCCTTAAAGCTTTCCATCGCTTATTAGCTATCGCCCAAGCAAAAAATGCGGAGCCACTCTGCTGTAAACACATGCGCAATACTCCTTACAAGAAAGCTACAGAGAATGCTCAGAACGCCTTCCACAGTCCAGTAGGCAAAGATGGCGGCGGAAGGGCGAGCAACGAGCTGGAGCGCTTCCTCACTAGAGCGCTTGCCGTTTCCGCCGCGGGAGGGCGAGCAACAAGCTGGAGACGCGATATGACGCTTCAGTCGAACCCCGCACCAACTGTAGCCTACGTGACAACGGAAAATATATGTGAGACTGAAACATAATCCGTTTTCTTCACGCGTCGCGCCAATAATACGATCTTTTTTTTTTTTCTGTTTTTTTTTTTTTTTTGTTATATTTGGGAGAAGAATTGTTTCAGTTAGGACTTAAAACCAAATATTAAGGAGTTGTAAAAGATCACTGCAGCTTGTCGAGACCTTCATGGTCTCGTCAAACTGTCTTCACAACTTTTTTTTTTTTTTCATGGAGACAAAAGCATAGTGTGCTGGAAATTAACTGTTTTTCGAACATGATTGAATGCTGGTATCCGATGCGCTTCTAGTTGGGCACAGGCGCGCAAACGGCTGGTCTTCTGGCATGCGCGTCGCTGCGCACGTAGATCTCCGCTCAGAAAGGCGCAGAACCGCCATCTTCTGTGGAATTTGAATTGCGTTATTGCTGGACACTTGCCGTCCTGTTCAGATCGCGCAGCCCGGAGGTGCCTTTTGCTCGAAGGGCATGGATTCTCAAACCGACCGGCTCGGCACCGAGGTCGTCCCCGTCGTTCAAACCGAACACGGTGGGTTCCCCCGCCACCGCTCAGTCCGTGCCAACCTCTCCCTCCGGACCGACCAGCGAGAGAAAGATGTCGATTCTAAAGGCAAGTGTAGGACAGCTATTCCGATATGGTCGCATAAACACACGAAAGACCTGGGGACTGGTTTCTAATTATAGTCTCTCGTTCACTGAATCGGGACATGCTTCTTTAGTGTCATGTCGGTTGAATGTAATAAACGAATATAAGAAACGACCATCCTGCGAAGTTTTAAAGTTAATTCAAAGTGACAAATCGGCTTTGGAGAATGACGCCTGCTAAACGCGGCGAAACGCTCCTAAGCAGTCTTTGTCATGTCTCAGTGGCACGAGAATTTTGTTTAACGAATATAATTTTCTTCAAGAGCTTTTGGGAAATCTTTCAACATTTATTCATTTATGTACTCAATAGGGTTTGACGATACCAGTCGGTTTGCAATTGAATAAAAAAAAGGAAAAAAAAATGAAAGCCGTTTACAACTCCTTGTAACGCCGAATTAGAGCGCAGCTCTTGAGGAGGAGGGAAGGGTACTGGGGGGGTCACGTGACCCCCCTCTCACGTGACCTTGGGGAGGGGGGTCACGTCACATTGTGGGAGTCACGTGACCTTGGGGTGTCACGTGACGTCGGGGGGTCACGTGACCTGGGGGTCACGTGACGATGCCGATGACGTCATCAGTGACGTCACTGATGACGTCATCAGTGATGATGCCGATCCGGATGCCGGTGACGTCATCACAGATGACGTCATCAGTGGCGATGACGTCAACGGGGGTCACGTGACCTCGGGGGGTATCCCCAGGTCACGTGACTCCGGGGGGGTCACGTGACCTGGGTAACCATCGTGACCCTCGTGATGGTAACCTTAGTAACCCTTGTGAGGGCAACTCTCGTGACCCTCGTGAGGGTAACTCTCGTGACCCTCGAGAGGGTAACTCTCATAACCCTCGTGACCCTCGTGAGGGTAACTCTCATAATCCTCGTGACCCTCGTGAGGGTAACTCTCGTGACCCTCGTGAGGGTAACTCTCGTGACCCTCGTGAGGGTAACTCTCGTGACCCTCGTGAGGGTAACTCTCATAACCCTCGTGACCCTCGTGAGGGTAACTCTCATAACCCTCGTAACCCTCGTGGGGGTTACGAGGGTTAGTAACCCTCGTAGCCCTCGTGAGGGTAACCGTCGTGAGATTAACCCTCGTAACCCTCGTAACCCTCACGAGGGTTACGAGGGTTACTCGCGGTTACGGCGACGGCGACGCCGACGGCGACGCCGACGCCCCTCAAGCCGGGAACGGGCGCCTAAGAGCTGCGCTCTAAAAAAGATATGTCCATAAATGGAGGAGTTACGGACTTGTGACAAAAAGGTGAAACGCTCGGGTTCGCCAACGCTTGCAGGCGATGAGGAGTCAATTCCATTTCACACTTTACTCACACCGATTCCATCGATTTACTCTCCTATCGCAGCCTGAAATGGTTTTACATGAGACAAACGAAAATTCCCGGTTCCTACACGTGTCCTGCAAATATACTGCTGCGACAGCCGAGCCACTGAGTATATTGGACACTGCTGCACGCCGACAGCACAATGACACTGCTGCACACAGGCATTTTCCCATTAAATTTAGCGGAGAATTGTTTCCACTAAATTTTGCGGAAAAACTACATTCATGATGTGATGTCACAAACACTATAAAACACAATATCACGTGACGTCATACCACGTGATGTGACGTGTTCCCGTGACCTCACGTTACACCATGACGTCACGTGACACCTTAATATCACGCGACACTGACGTAACGTGCCACGACGACTCGGGGATCCCTCTGTGAAACCTCGGGCCGACAACAGCTGCCACCATAGCAAACGTGGTGAAAGGCCTGTGCAAATCGAAATCGGCTGTCGGATCGGACATCCGATTTCGGCAAAAAAAAAAACGTGAGGCGGGCACATCGAGAGCTGATTTTGGTTTGTACGTATCCCCAAGCCGGACCTCGCCTGAGCACGGCCGAACCAAGACCGGCCGAGCCCGTCAAAAATCGGAAGACGGTCTGGAGAGGAGGAAGCCTCCTCTCCGGACCGGTTTTCTTGCCGAAATCGGATGTCGGATCCGACACCATCTTCGGTTTGCACAGGTGTTAAAGGGGGGAGGGGGGGGGGGTTGCAACAATTTCCGGACTTCGGTCAAACATTTCAGTAAGTTGCCGCCTGACACATCTAAACTAAAGACCAAAAAACCGATTTCGCCTGCGTGTCCTAGTTGTGTAAAAAAAAAATAAGTATTCGCATTTCTGGCACCCCTCAACTCGCTCCCAGTCTTCAGGGTCACACTTGGTCCCCCTCCTGCTGACGTGATTCGGGGTGCCGTGTAGCTTCCCGTGTGCTCTCTCGGAGGACGCTTCCTCTCCCTCTCTCTGCTGACATTAGCGGACGTTATGCTGAGGCTTAGAGCCGAGCGAGGTCACGTAAGCTTTTCGCCGTAGTTCCTTCGGCTGCCACTCGCGGCTGCAGGTGGGGAAAAAAGCTCGAATTTTGCTTTGCGATTATGCAGCGGAATCGCGACATTTTTTAATGAAGGAGATGTTTTCTGTATTCTCTGGGACACGAAAAACAACGTAAAAATGACGAGATGCAAATTTTTTTAATATTTTAATCGTTGCACCGCCCCTTTAACATGGCGTGTACATTTCCCTCCCAGGAGCCCACCACTCGACGTCCATCCATCCTGAAGCCCCCGTCGGACTTCCGAGCCAAGCGGACTTCGTTGGCCAGATGCGACGACGATCCGGCGCCGTTGGACAAGAGGCTGGCCGAGCTCGGAGACATCGCGGGCACCAGGCGATTCAAGCCCCTGCAGATGGTCCAGGGCATGGCCAACAGGATGTTCGTCGAGAGTCCCAGGAACGCAGAGGGAGCACCCCATGTGATTCTCTCGAAGCAAGAAAGTGAGATACACAAATAGACCGGATGGATGGGTGGATACAGTTGAATGAACTCTTTTAATCAGGCGGCGGCTTGCGCCACCTAGCCAGAGCTTCTAAATCAAACAATTAAGTACTCTCTGATTAAATCCTGCTTTAATTGAGAAAGGCAAAGAATATTATATCGCCGCTAAGCACAAGCATTCGCGTACCATTTTCCACAACCGAAATCCGTGTGACGGCGATGTCTCTTCGCAACCCGGTGCGCGCACTTTCGCCCTACGGATTGAAAGGAAAATAATAACAAACTTTATTCTTCCCTTGACCTATGCCACCAGTCCTGTGTTCTGAGATGTCCGCTTTCCCACCGTCTATTTTCTCGTCGCTGTCCTTAAAGCGCAACGTAGAGCGGGTTGATAAAAAATGATTTCAAAAACACGAAATAATAAAACATGCAAGGACGAAGACAGAGAGTACAGTTCTTTCAGTTAGCAATTTCTCCGAGAGAACACCCTACGCACGAAGGTCTACAGCGGCTTTGATCAAAGTACCTAGATTTTCACCTTTATCTTCTCCCGTCCGGTCTATGCTGGGCTGTCCAGCAACGTCCTAAGAAACCTTTCCTCCATTTTTTTCAGTTCTCACTCTAAAATTGTCAAGCATGGAATAATTCGGTCTCTTTATTTCTTCCCGTACTAAACCCTGTGGCCAAGTAGTTGCGTTCAGCATATCAACGCAGCAAGAACACCTCCTCAAGGCTGGGTACCCGGACGATCTTTTAACTTGCATCCTCATTCGTCTAATATTAGATTCCGGAAGCTCTCGTTCCCCCAGAAAGAATACTTCACGTGTAGCCACCATCCCTTATGTCCATAACTCCGTTCACCGCTTGAGGGCCATCGGATCACGTTTGATTCAGTTATTTTCTCCAGCAAGATGCGCCTCAAACAACTTTGCGAAAGGTTCAACAACAATAGTGATCCGACAGGTTGTTCCATCAACATGTCCACCCATTGGTCCCCCGCAAGAGCAAGTGAAGTACTCCGTTCCCTTAACCTGAGGAGATAAGTACACTGGACAGACTGCAGATGCCTCAACACTCGCATCAGGGAGAACTCTCATGAAGTAACCTGTGAGGGATAGCGCGGCACCGAATGGGCCCGTCCTGCGGATGCGCGGGGGAACGAGAGTAATGAGGAAGAAGCGGCAGTGAAGAGCGAGCGTACGCAGGACTGGCCGCAGGTGACCAGAACGGTTTCGGAAGTGGCGTAGTGTGGATTGATACATAACAAGTGGGGGCTCGTCCGTTGCTTAAAATGAACCAACCGTCAGTGTTCGTGCCACCGGAGCTTCTTCAGACACTGCTGCAACAAACAGACGGGACACCGCTACAGCGGGAGAAGATCGCGGCCCGCGTTCGTGAGCTTTTGTTTGCTACTCCGATACGAGCCACGGAAGAGGGAGCGGTGCCCTTCGTCGCGGCGGCTGTCACTGAGGCCAGCACAACGGATGACCAAGACTCGACGTGCCCACGACTGGTCCCCGTTCAGCCACCGAAATTCATCGGTTTCAGAGATTTGCAGTCGCCAGATGACTTCCTGGATTACCTGGAGAACTTTTGCCTCGTTCACGGCGTGAAACTCGAGGACCGGCTCAGCCGGGTCGTACCTGCAGCCCTCCAGGGAAGCGCGAAACTGTGGTTTCGGTTCACAGAGGACTTCGCCGACTGGTCAACGTTTGCTACCGCTTTCCGAAAGGAGTTCGCACCCGTTGACACAAAGAAACGGCTAAAACAAGAACTGAGGCTCCGAACTCAACACCCGGAGGAGAACCTCAAACAGTTCATTTATGTTATAGCCTCATACTATGACAGGATCGGCGACGATGTGAATGAGGCTGAAAAAGTCGAGCGGGTGTTGGAGCAAATGCACCCTCAGTTCCAAGACTTCTGTGCAGGTAAGACCTTTGCGAGCCTGAAAGAGCTTGCGCAGGCAGCGGATGGGTTAATGGAAAGAGTATGGCGGCGGGTGCAGCATGTTCCCCCGCGACAGCCCACCAACCAAGTTGCGCGGGACCTGGCCTTCTACAGCAAGAGTGCAACGACTCATGCACCAGCTCAAAGTGCTGCGGTGCCACCACCAGTTGCTAGCCAGGCCTGGCCCCTGCATCCGGCATCCCTCCAGCCATCATACTATCGAGACCAGCTGAGTGCAGCCGGAGCAGTGAGAATGATCCACCAGACTGGCCTGCACAGCAGTCTTCACCAGTACCCAGCAACCAACCAGCCTCTACAGATCCAGTGCCATCGTTGTGGTGGCATCGGACATATGCAACGACAATGTCCCACAGCTAGACGCCAGGGCTCACCACGCTGTTTCAAGTGTGGCCAGCTTGGCCACATGCAAGCGAAGTGCCAGGGAAACTCTTGGCAGTAGAGGCCACTCCGGCGGGCCTCTACGACACCACAGTGCAGGTAGCTGCAACAGCCGGCGGCAAGGAGCCATTGTTAGAGCTTCGTATTGGGAAGTTCACATTCAAGGCGCTTTTGGACACGGGGTCGAGCGTCAGCTTAATGGGAGATGAAGCAATAGAGGCAGCCACAGCCACTGGTGTGGGCATCAAGGAGGAACGACGAGGCCTACGTCTTGCAGCGGGCTGGTCCCAGATTATGCATTCAACTAGGTGCGGAATACACTGGCCCGGAGGATCCAGGAAGCAGCGATTCCTCCATATGCCAGGCCTCTGTCGAGACATAGTACTTGGTAGGGATTTTCTGAATGCCACTAACATCTCGGTTCATGTGTCTCTGAACTCTTGGACTCTGGGCAATGAACCACAGGCCCTAATCCCCTCTGCCCGGGACGTTGGCTCGAGGGCGCCAGTTCATCCCCGGCTGGGTGAGGAGGTGTACAGTCTGCAGGAGTTGTTTGCAGAGCCTCATCAAGTCGCACACCAGGAACCCGACCAGAATCAAGACGCCCAGAAGCCCTCGGAGGAGGACGCGGTACAGCAACATGGCACTGAACATCCGGAAGTTTCGGCCCTACTACGAAGATTTGATAAGATTTTTGATGCTCGCCCTGGTCGTACCGGACTGATGGAGCACAGTATCAACACGGGGAGTTCCCTGCCAACGCGCTGTAGGCTTCGTCCGGTCAACTCCCACAAAAGGCAGATTATGGACGCCTGCCTGGAAGATTTGCTGCACCAGGACTTGATCCAACGAAGCTCCAGTCAGTGGTCCTGTGCCCCAGTCCTGGTAGCAAAGAAGCCTGGAGGGTACCGGCTAGCAGTGGACTACCGTCCACTAAATGCCAAAACCAAGGTTCCGGTGTACCTGATGCCCAGGACAGACTGGGTACTTGCACAGCTGGGCGGAGCCCAATGGTTCACGAGCTTTGATTTGTCGCAGGGCTTCCTTCAGATCCCTGTTCGCCCCGAGGATGTCCCCAAGACTGCTTTTATATGCCACCAAGGTACGTTTGAGTTTAAGAGGATGCCCTTTGGTGTGGCTGGTGAACCAGCTACATTCCAAAACCTCATGGACAAAGTACTGGCGGGGATAAAGCACAAGTTTTGTATGGCCTTTTTGGACGACGTGCTAGTATACTCAAGTTCGTTCGAAGAGCATCTGAGGCATATTGAAGAGGTCTTAAGCAGGATCGCCCATGCAGGATTGACCATCAACCCTAAGAAGACACAAACTTGCAGGCGATCACTAAAGTTCCTGGGGCACATCATCTCGTCGGGAGAGTGCCGACCTGATCCTGATAAGGTTGCGGCCGTCAGGGACTTTCCAACCCCACGAACAGTCAAGGATTTTCAGGCCTTCCTAGGATTGGCGGGGTACTACCGCACCTTCCTGCCGAAGTTCTCCGAGGTGGCTCAGCCACTGTCATTCCTCCTGCAGAAGAAGGTCTCGTGGTGTTGGAGGAACCCTCAAGAGGAGGCATTTCGTCAGCTCAAGTCTAAGCTGGCTGATGACGTGGTGGTTGCACTCCCAGATCTCAACCGGCCATTCGTGGTGGAAACGGATGCCAGTGGGAGGGGCATTGCGGCAGTTCTCTTGCAGGAGGCTAGAGGGAGGCTGAGGCCAGTGTCGTTCATCAGCAGAGCCCTGAAGGAAGCGGAGAGGCACTATACACGGTGCAGGAGTGGGAGTGTTTGGCGGTAGTGTGGGCCGTTGACAAGTTCCGCCCATATTTGGAGCACACCAAGTTTGAGATCCACACTGACCACGATTCTCTTAGGTGGATGTTCACCACGGACCAGACTTCAAGCAGGGTACGTCGATGGGTGCTGCGCCTGCAGGGATTTGATTGCCTCATCAGGCATCGACGGGGGAAAGCCAACATCCCAGCGGACGCGCTGAGCCGTTTCCCCGTCCTAGCTCCAGTAGGCTCGGAGACAAGAGAGACTGATAACGAATGGTTCCCCATTGACACCGTGGAAACAGAATGCCGGGTTCGATTCGAGGAGAACGCGATGGTCCAGGAAACCGACATCTCACCCCTCCTCAGTGCATCAGAGCTTGCTGACGAACAGCGAAAGGACCCTGGGATCATCAAGCTGATTAGCTATCTCAAGGACGGCACCCTACCGACTGACTCTGCAGAAGCATGCCAGATTCGGAACATGGCTGAGGACAGCGAACTGGACCATGATGGACTGCTGCTGAAGATTGTAGGCGAAAGAAGACTCCTTTGGATGCCCAAACAACTATGCCAAATAGTGCTCCAATTGTCCCATGATCACCCTCTAAGCGGCCACCTAGGTTATTTCAAGACACTGAGACGAGTGTCCGAAAGGTATTTTGGCTAGGCATGAGATCCGATGTGTCTCGGTATGTAAGGTCTTGCCATTCATGCCAGACACTGAAGCCTCGCCGCCAGAAGCCAGGCGGACTGATGGACAGCACTTGGGCAGAGGAACCCATGGCAGAGCTGAGTGTGGACCTCATCGGACCATTGCCCACCTCAAAGCGCCAACACAAACACCTGCTGGTGATCATCGACAAATTTACCAAGTTTGTGGAGCTATTCCCACTTCGAGCTCCGACCAGCAAGGCCATATTAGAAAGAATGCTGGAAGTGTTTTGTCGACATGGCTTCCCAAAGAGTATCTCTAGCGAGAATGGGCGTGTCTTTGTGTCAAACCTGTGGAAAGCGGTAATGAAACACCTTGGCATCAGAGACCACCACACGGTGCCATACCGCCCAGCAGGACAGCTGGTGGAGCGGCATAATGCTACAGTAAAGCAGTGCCTGATGGCATATTGCAGTGCCCACCGTGACTGGGATCAACATCTCCCAGAGGTCGCCTTTGCAATGCGAACCTGTGAGAGCGTCACCACAGGGTACTCACCTGCCCTTTTGTGTTATGGGCGCCAGCTCCGCTGCCCTTGGGAACAAAACCCCCGCCAACTCTCTTTACGAATCAGTGGCACGCCGGGCTTCATTGCAGATTTGACGTCTAGACTGCAGGACGCGTACGAGTTTGCTCTGGAGAACCAAAGAAAAGCGCGAGAGCAACAACGGCGTTACTACAATCGAACCCGACAGCAGTCAGAGTTCCGAATAGGTGACACAGTACTACGCGACCTGCACACCCTCAGTGATGCCAGCAAAGGAGTGGCAGCAAAACTGGCTCCAAGACGCTCGGGACCTTTCGTGGTGGTGGGGAAAGTGGGGGCCAATGACTATCGTCTGAGGGACCAAAGAACTGGAAGACTTGCGGGACTGGCACATGTGGACCAGCTGTTGAAGTTCTGCGAAGACCGACCGGACTTCGCTTTCTAAGGGGGGAGGATTGTGAGGGATAGCGCGGCACCGAACGGGCCCGTCCCGCGGATGCGCGGGGGAACGAGAGTAAAGAGGAAGAAGCGGCAGTGAAGAGCGAGCGTACGCAGGACTGGCCGCAGGTGACCAGAACGGTTTCGGAAGTGGCGTAGTGTGGATTGATACATAACAAACCCAAGAATCCAGTGACTCTTTTCATCCTATTGTGGAGCATAACCGCATTTGTTGAAACTGAGAGCTTCCATGCAAGCCGAGTTATCGGGAGACAAGGACAGACTAGGCAGAGAAATACCTGAGTCCCATCGGGTGGGCCGTGATGATTTGAACTTTGCCTCGCGTTCCAATAGGTCATTCATCACTGAAATATAATTTTTGAAGCAGGAGTAAAGGCCCGTTCACACTCTTGCAACCGAGTACGACTGAGAGAGACGAGACTTGTTAAAACCTCTTAAAATTTCTTAAAACGAGAGAACACACTGGCATGCTGGTGCCATCTATGCTGTGACTCTGGAACTGCATTTCACAAAAGCGAAGGTTTTGCGGGATTTCCGAGGTCAAATGTGCGTAATACCTATAAGAAAGGCTCCTTTGTGACGTTGACAAAAGTTTTTCGAGACAAGAAAGAAAGGATAATGCGCGAGAGAAATAGTAAATATGCTGGACCGTCAAGTTTACACTGCTACCCAATAGATGACGCCAGTGTGTACTCTCGTTGTAAGAGGTTTTAAGGTGCCCAGTTTTAAGAGGTCGCAAGAGTGTGAACTCCTTTTCTTTTTCTTTTCCTTTTTTTCTGTTTCCTCCTCCGTTATTCTTATTTTTTTAATTGATGTGAGATACTGGCAAGCTTTTTTTTTCACGCGATAAAGAAGAAACTTAATTACGAAGTCTAAACCAGGCGCAAAGCTTCAGGTGGGAGCGTGCAAAAAGAAAGAAAAAAAAGTAGAGATTGGCTAATTTACAGCGAACGTTCGAAGGCTCTGTGATACGATGGTGAACTTTGTCATCTATTCACAAGTACTTTTTGTGTGGTTCGGTCTAGCATTTCAGTTGCACACGCTTTAGTGCAACTGAGACACGAGGTAAAACGGCATATAAACAACGAGTTATATAATTCATTGAAGCTGAGGATAGAAGTTATAACCGATTTTATGAACGAAGGTATCTCTGGTCAACATTTTTCTTTCTCTCTTTTTTTGTTTCAGCCTTATCCTTTGAATCGCAGCAGATCTCATCGCCCGAGACGCTTAAACTTCAAACGTATGTATTAGCTTACAAAGGGATCGATCGAGAAAACGAAACCCGGCTTTTCGGCCCGCATCGTAGAAATCTGAAACCCATGGTGGAAAGCTTACACTCCGTGAGAATATGGCGACAGCGGCGGTGAGCATACAGCGTTATCTGGATCAAAAGATACAAAAACAATTTATCCATGAGCCGACATCTACGTAGCCCACCTCATCAAACATAAACTTGAGAATATGTGCGCCCGCTACATTTATTCAAGAAAAAAAAAAGATACTTGTCAAGAAGAAAGAAGACAATATCGTCTCTCTAACGGACAAGTATTTTTCACTGAAACTAACGCTTACAAGCACTCACAATATCAAATTTCTATTTGATAAATGTTTAGCTTAGAAAGACGTCGGCTGAAAAAGATCTTTTAAATATTTTTATTTAAGTAGGATTATGTATTTACGCTCATTTCATCGCCACCGCCGGCGTCACATTCTCACGGAGTATTAAAGTTCTGTGATGCGTAGTTTATTTGTACAGGCCAAAAAAACAAAAAAAAAAAAACAGGCTTAATTGTGTTGATCGACCCCTGCATTTCTCATTAGCCCGTAAATATGTTACACTCTTTTAATCATATCAGTTCCTTTGTGGAATCGCACAAGATCGATACAAAAGAAGAATAAAGAAAAATTTTCATATACGAGGTGAGCAAATATTTCCGCAAGCCTCTCTTGGATTTTTCGTTGGGTCTTACATTGTGTTCACAGTGTCTATACAAGACACTGTCAACACACCCGCCACTCAAAACAGTAGACACCAAATTTATTTTCAGTTAATATTTATCAAATGCAGGCTGAATGTCGTATAAGATAACAGCGTTAGTTTAAAAGTCGCGAATGATACGAACATTGTCAGAGCTAGGTCTGATTTATTGTTTTCTTGGGGTCCGATTTTGGTCAGCGCAAGAGCGAGAGACAGCTCCGATTTGCCTCGCGCGGAGCGAGCGAATTAAGATAGCGTTCGTAGAAGGTTCGTCTGCTAACGCGAGCGAAGAACGCGTTTCGTCCGCTACAACTGTCATTCACAGACAGAAGTAAAGCTAAACACCGGACGTCACCTGCTAATAAACCGAAAAAAAAGGTTAAACTTGTACAACGAATTGACCGCCGCGGCGAGATCAAACGACTGCCAATCCGCTTTTCGTTTGCAAATCTCAGGTTGTTCTACTGTTGTACGTACACAAGCTGGCATCGACCAATGGATGAAGGAGTTCGAGGACACGCACATCAGAGGCTGAGAGACCACCCTCATTATTCGTGTGTTGGGGAGACGTTCTCACCAAATGTTTCTCCGATTGGGAACTCGCCGAACGGGTTAAAACGTCTCATTGGTTGATTACGCGCAACCTTTGGCGCCACGTCCAATCAGATGGCGAGAAAGCTCTCGCTTCCACCTTGTCGAAAATCGAACCGCTGATGCGATCATTTCTCTGCTATTATCTGACATCGAAGATAGGCGCCGAAAAAACAAGGATAAGAAGAGATGTAAACACTGACGCCAGTGTTTACGTCTCTTCCTGTCCTTGTTTTTTAATGGGAACACCGCACCCACGCAGTGGAGTAAACTTCTTCCACTTTAGTACACGGAAGGCTGGCGGGGAGAAAAAGAAGCTCCCCTCTCCCCCCTAGCCTTCCCTGCACCACGAACCGCACTGCAGCGGTGCGATGCTGGCCAAGACGAAATGGCCACAAGTAATCAGAAGGAATGACAGGAAACGGTAGTGTTGTGCGAATATTCGAATTTTCGAATAGTACATGCGAATAATACCTATTCAATATTCGCTTTTAGATGGACTGTGATATTGGTATTTTTCGATGCGAAAGGGGCTAACCGCGGTGGGTTAGCCCCTTTGAGCGCGCTTCCTACAGAGCACCTATGCACTGCGGAGAAGCAACACTTGCAAAGCTCGCATGCGCGGGTGTTGCTTCTCTGCAGTGCACCAGTAGTCGGTAAGAAAAGCGGTCAGCGGGGCTAACCCGCCGCGACCAACACTTCGAAAAGTACCAATATGGCAGGCACGTTCTTAAGAGGAAAGCCCCCTTTCAAAGCCGGATGGCGCACACGCGCGCATAGTGTATGTAAGAAGACACAAACTTTGTGAATGTTGAAATCTACACTACAGTAAAATTTTCAAAATTAAGCTTCTGCTATCATGCAAGAGTATATGTTAGGCAGAGATGTCCTGACAAACCACATTCATCATTCATGGTTGTCATTGTTTTCTCAAAATCTAGATTTAAATAAAAGATTTCTGTATATAGCAAGAAGATCTATAAGTGGCCTCAATTAGGTACAGCTGGGCATCTCCATGGGTTTAAATTTATGCTTAATGCATCGTTTACTTGCCATTCCCATGAAGGCAATGGACTCTCTGATGTCACATTCTATAAATATAGCTAAATTAAAATGAACTTAGCTTATATAGGGACAAGTGGAAGCTTGCGAAAAACTTTTACGAGTTCAGATGGGTGTTCGTTTAGGCACGTGGTGCAGTAGTGAAAAGCTCGAAGAAACTATTCAATAATCGATTCGAAAATGTGCGGCCGAAATCACTATTCGTTTTGAATTCGCTTCGAACTCGAAATACCTTATTCCCACATGTCTAGAAAACTGCATCCAAACACCGGTTCTCTCGCCATATTATTTATTGTGCATTTTGATCACCAGAACCACTCTTCCTAGTTCCCTGATTCATGTCTGCGTAACATTAAAAAAAAAATCATTTGTGTTTACATGTAGTACATGCATAGTGATCTGATCTGATCTGATCTATCACTTTCATTAGTTTTCTGCCCTGTGTGAATAATCCAAAGTTCCTATGCGCTTTGATTTGTCTGATAGGTTCCCGGAGTCACAATCATTTTGCAATAATATAAGTCGTAAAATATGGCTCTTGAAATTAAATTATATGTATTTGTCCACCTTACATTTGTTTTTAATTGTTGCTCTATTTTAAATTTAGTATTTAAATGCTTTTGTAGGCTTATATATCTCGCGTTTCTTCGTTTATATTCTCTTATCGAATTTCCGGCCTTCGAGACTGCAACAGGTTCCCAATCCGGTTCCCTATAGTCAAAATGTTTAAAGACCCCTGTTATAAAGGTATGTCAGTTGTAAATTGACCAAGAAATAAAGCTTAAATATATAAGCCGTATGCGTCATAGTTTAGCTCTTTGCGCTAAGTGTGCAGTTTTGACGCTCAGAGACTAATTTATTAACCAACTGATTTCAGAGTATGCGTTAGCCTGCGCACGGCGCTTCTGCTCGGCGCCACCATGACGGCAATTTTCGGCAACCTGGCAAGTTTCTGGAACGTTCCAGCCCGAAAAGCTATCTTGCATCACTTGAGCAAGTAAGTATGTAGCCTGCAGTTGAAAGACAAATACATATATTGCACTACGCCAGAGGTCTCAAACACCGCGACTGGCTGGGACGCGCTAGAAATGGCACGCACCATAGTGATCTCATCTCGTCGACTCATTTTCGCTCGAAAAGTACCTCTGCACATTGTAACGTATGCATATAGTTTATGAATATCTGTGTTCATTTGCCCTTTGCTTCGCTTCTTTTCTTTTTTTTTTTTTTGCTTTTTGTAACGTAAAACAATTCCGCTCCTAGGCTGCAAGAGCGAGCTATTCTTTTAATAATAATAATAATAATAATAATAATAGTAATAATTTGTTTATTTAATGTGCCCAAAACCAACCACGCGGGTCATCACATTGGCGCACACAAAACAAAAAGAAGAAACACAGCACACGAACAGCTTAAAATGTACAAGTATTTGTACATTTGCGCACAATGTATTTAAGAATGTATGTCAGCTGCGCGAACTCTCGATCCGCTGGAGCAACTTCCAAGGATAAAAAAAACTACGAGCTCGGTACTCTCGCCTTCAAACAAATATCATCATTAAAACACGAGTACTTGTTTTGAGTGTTGTAATAGAAATCGTCAGGAAACCAAGGATCGTCAAATTAGCCGATTGTTTTTTTTAGAGACATGTTGATCTTGGTTAATTTCTGAGTAAATTGAGCAACGGGGAAGACAGTGCACTTGCTTTCTTGTTCTATTAAAAATGCCGACAGGTTGGTGGGGCGATGGCATTTTAATTCTTGTTATCACATCAGGTCAGGGCCCAAAACGTAGTCGTATAAACAAATCAAATCTAAAGATGTCACTGGAAAACCTAAGTTTTCAAAAAGCATAGAGCACAAGGTCTTCTTTTTAAAGTCTTTTGAACACCTCCCCTTTCTTTTCTCTCTCCCCCTCCTCCCCCCCCCCCCCCCCTGTTTTAATCCCACTCGGGCCAAAACGATCCGTCTGGATTTGGCCCAGTCTGACGTGAACTGACTCGATTAAGCCTCGGAACGGATACATCAGAGTTCAAGTGAAGCTATGAAAAATTAATTAAAGTTTTACTCAATAAGGGAACAAGCCAAAACCTAGCCTGAGCGTGTTTTTTTTTTTTTTTTTTTTTTAATTGAGTAAAGGGTTTTGATTTTATTTCATTTTTACTACTTTTCACTTTTTTTTTTTTTTTTTCTTTTTTAGTGACCAAGAGTGCAAACACAGGCATCATCTGCGCGAATGATTGTTTACCAGGCTTGAAATTTCATATGCTTGTATTCACAAGTAGGCGGATACATGTCATCGGTCAGATACTACCAGGGAAATAAATTATACTAACTACAGTCAGTGGCAGGCTAAGAATTCAGTGGAAGCTACGCCTTGTGGCTGGGCCACAAGTGCGTGCTATGCACGCAGTTGTGGCTTTTCACCGGGCTTCGGCTGCGCGAGCGACGAAATGTTACCAAAGGCCGAAAGTTTGAGATTGAGGCGGAGCGCCCACTGAATTCTTAACCTGTCACATGACTATAGACCAACTCATGTTTACAAACAAACCGGAGCGCTCCTAGCGGACGCCACCGGGACCCTGCATGCGCGATGGAGTGTGGGCAAGGAGCTCGCCGTCGCCCATAAAGAAATCATTAGAAGTCGATGTTGGCGGCGTCGGTGTGAGTCCCCGTGCCATTGTTCGCATTGGAATTGTTAATTCCACGCCTTTCTGGCATGTCTGACTACTTTAGTGGCCTCAGCGAAATTAACGAGGCTCGTTACACTGCAAAACGTAGCGTGAAAATTGTGACATGTGGCGATTCATTCCGCGTGGACTCCGCAGAATGGGCGCTAAAACCTAACTCGCATGACACTCTGCTCGCTATTTTCAGTCGCGATGTCGCTCGGGTTTCAAAAGAGTGGACCGTTTCTGTGATGGTCGCCATCGATACTGAAAATCGCAAGCATAATCGGACCAATTAACTCAGGCTTAACTAGTCGGTGATGGCCTTTTAACAATGATCAGCATATTCTTGTATCTACTGTTAACACAGAGCCTACTTAATCCAACCCACCGTCAAACTTAAATGTATTTTGAGGCCTGCACTCACTTGTTATCGCAATTACCGGGTCAACGTTTCGTCTACAGCGCGAGACACATGGACGGCAGATTCGTCCGATCCGACGTCCGATCCGACAGTCCGAACGCCGCTCCGAATCGCCGTACGCGACAGTTTGAGACACACGCTTCCGACCTTGCATGCGACACGACGATCCTTTCGGCTCCGCCCAGGAGATCCAAGCACTCCAGCGGAGGTCCGCGTTCATAGATATCTGGTCCCAGATTGACGGTTCAGCTCGCACGAGCGAAGTTAGGAGCTTGTTCTCGCTAGCGCGTGCATTCTTTGCTGGGGCCATCTTTCTCGAATGGGTCAACGGGATTCACGCGTCCGGTTTCCCCTCGCCCGTCCCGTTATCGCGTTCGCCTCGTCCCGCCAGACCCAGTACGTCACCATGACGTTTGAGCTAGCTGTGCTGTCATTGGCTGGACGCATCCGACAATCCGTCCACCGTGCGAAACTATCTGGCGCGTTGGACGCACGTCGGATCGCCGATCCGGCGTCTGAAGCGACCAAATTTTTCGGATCAGGCAGTCGTATTGCCGGATCGGACGTCGGATCGGATGGATTTTTCGCGCATGTGTCTCGCGCTTACGGGCCGCTGTCGTTTGAACGAGCAGACGACAAGAAGCAGAAACGTTTGAAAGAGCAGACGACAGTTCGAACGATCGGGCAGCCGTTTGAACTTGAAGACGAACTGAACGTATAGTCCGCAGGTGGTCCGTAAAACTTGGCAGTTTTTCCGCGGTCATTTTCGAACAAAACAAATAAATCTGACGACTACAAGTATCCGTGAATTCAACCCAAAGTGCTTCCCGCACAAGCAATCCTGTTCCGACGGCGTCTGGTTGTTATTTTTTACGGCACCCATATCAACATTTTCGGACGAACCAAGCAGGTAGAAAACGCATGAAGACTGACCTAACAATTCCGGATTCTTTTGGTACAGCCAAAGCGCGGCGTTTTCACAAAAAAAAAAAAAAAAAAAATGCGTGTTCATTTTTTTTTTTTTTTTTTAAAACAACAGAGGAATGCACGTTCTGCAGGTGATTTCCGCCCACAGCCCGAGACCGGAAGTGCGCCTGACGCGCCCGAAACGCCACCACCACGCCGTGACGTAACAGAGCTGAGTTCGTGTATGGTATCGTAAAGGCGGGACAATAGCAGATGTAGCTCCCTTCGTCAGCAGTCGTACCCTAAAACCACACGTTTAATTTGATATGAAAAAAAATGTTATACTATACCTAATAAGCACCCCGTAACAGAGTTTAGGCTCAACAGTTTTATTTTAAATAATATTACGCCATATATGAAAAAAAAAAATTTGTACTATACCTAATAAGCACCCCGTAACAGAGTTTAGGCTCAACAGTTTTATTTTAGATAATATTACGCCATAAAAGCAGACAGGAAGTATGCATTAAAGCGGTCTCTACCGAAGAATTGAAATCAGTGAAGTTAACGCAGCACAAGAAACGCGCACAGGTACAGTTTTCATCCACATCCCTTACCGAATGTGTCGCGACGCCCAATGTGATTCGGACGTCTGCGCAGGTACCAGCTAGTGAGTGCGTGGAGCTGGTTCATCGTCACCGTCCCCGTCGCCACCGTCTGCTCGCTGGTTTCCTTTGGTCTCATCTACGCCATCTACCTCGTCCCCATGTGAGTTGTCAGGCAGCGCGCACGTTGGTGAGCCGGGTACTAAAAGTAACGAGGGTAGAAAGTTGGGCAAGTTGGTGATTCATAATGATTAAAAAGCGCGACAGGACAACGGACACAGATGGAGACACAGACACAGCGCTACTTACAATTGAACTTTATTCCCGCTGCAGCTCGGTATATATTACCGGCAGCAACACAAACAACTTGTGTGGTGTTGCCGGTAATATATACCGAGCTGCAGCAGAAATAGAGTTCAGTTGTAAGTAGCTCTGTGTCTGTGTCTCTTTCTGTGTCCGTTGTCCTGTCGCGCTTTTTAATCATCCTAAAAATTCCCTGGCTCACACACACAAAAAAAAAAGTGCGCTCTACTTTTTTTTTTTTTTTGCTTTGTTTTAGTTAATTTGTTTGGAGTGATGTGTTCGTATATCAATAAGTAAAGCTTTTCGCTTTCGAGCTTATGAAATAAATTTCAAATAAAAATGTCGTAATACTATAAAGCACATAAACCGTCCCCTTGTAAACCCCACACCACCCCCCACTCCCCCCCCCCCCCCCCCCCCCCAAAAAAAAAAAAAAAAGAAAACAAGCGGAATATTATTGTGAGGTGACAGTTGTGACGTGACAAACCTCGTCCTAGGTGTATTCCCCTTGTGTTCCCTCTCTTCACGCGGCATAAGGATCAATTGACTAACTTCTTAGTATACTTGTAGGACAATGAATCATATGTTTAAATTAAAATGTTGCCAGTATTGGCTGCGATATACGTCTGCTACATGTTAGAATTTAAAAAAAAACATTAATGTAAACGTCTCTTTTTCAAAGCTCCTTTTAGAGTAAATATTAGCGGTGGCGCGTCCAATGCGGTGAACATGATTGAACCCAATTTGCGAGTACCCAATGCGCGTGCAACAATTGAATGTCGCGGGGGTGTGGTCACGGGGCTCATGTGGTTGACATGCGCAGTGAGGAGTTTGACGAGAGCCTACAAGAGGACATCAACAAGTGCGCCGTGGCCAGGCTCAAAGAGCTGCGGGGCTACAGGTACGCGAAGATGGCGGTTTGCCGCCATTCCTAAGTCCCAACTTGAATCAGTCGAGCAACATCCGAAGGCGATCGCTGTTCGGCCCTAAAGTAACCACCGAGCGGTAATACTCGAAGAAAACAGAACCATGTAACAGAGTGAAAAGCACAAAGGAAGAAATATATATCGTTGTCCTTGCAGCAATTGGGGAGAGCCGCGCGTCACGCCGTGTACAGGTCCAGTACCGAAAGGAAATCCATTGTACTACTGAGTAGTGCAATTGATTTCCCGTGAAATCCTATATAGAATAGTGATTACTTTATAATATAGAATTTCACGGTGTTTGCTCGACGTCCCATGGCGTCTGTTCTTGGCGTTCAGTACTCAGCACGCGTTAATTTATATTTTGTTTTATTTGCGCGCATACCAAATAAATTGGAGAAAAAAACCCGAGCAAGGTTGCTCCTCCTCAGCCAGAACAAGCGGCCACGTGATCTGGTGCCGGTAGGTGCTGGAATTATTCATCGAGGCCGCGCGTGGTCGCCGATAGACACACAGCGTGCTGCGTTAGGGCATCGTTCTAACGATGCCCTAACGCGAATTCCGGCAAATTCCGTCACAGCAGCGATTCGGCAAATTCCGTCACAGCAGCGATTGGACACGTGCCCCAACGCGAGTGTCCCCGCACGGCACTGATTGTACCCGAACTGAAGTCAAGCGCTTCGCGCAGGGCTCGTGTTCAATGCAGGGCCCATATTCAGTGGCGTACCAACTTGTTTTTGAGTGTGTGTGTGTGTGTGTGTCCCCAGGGCCGGGGGGCGGTGCCCTTGGTATCCCTTCGGCGCCGCCGGACAGTGTTCAGGGCCACCAGGTTGGGCTATTAATAGCCAAGTTGGGCTACTTTGTACTAGATTTGGCGTCCGAATCGGGCGGTTGGCTTTGTGGCTATTTTTCGGCTATTTCACATCCTATCGCGACGTTTTTTAGGGGCGAAGCTCCTTAGGGTCCAGCCCTTGTCCGTCCATCCGTCCGTCCGGACGGACGGCGTCCGTGCTCACATAAAAAGAAAAAAATGTTCGCGCAGTCGACAGGATTCGAACATTTGCGGGGAGACCCCAATGGATTTCTAGTCCATCGCCTTAACCACTCGGCCACGACTGCGGGACGAGTAAGGGGCTCTGAGATCTGGTAGTAACTCAAGAGCTTTGGATGTCATGGATGAAACGTTGCCTGTAGCCGCTCAGCGTCTATACAGGAGAGAGCGCTGCGGTCAAATGCGTATATAATCGCGTTAAACTTTGCATGCTTTGGCTCAACGTTTATAGACGAGAGGGCGCTGCGGTCAAATGCTCAAATGCGTATATTGTCACGGGTGGTGACCAATAAACAAGAAATAAACAGAAATAAATAAACGTTTAATGTGGCGAACTTGTGCCAAAAATAAAGAAGGAAACAGAAGAAAGAAGAGCGTCGCGGGCGTCGAAGTCGGCGTGTCAGCAGAGTCGAACGCTGGGGCGAAACTGACTCGACAAGGTCGCGGGCGGCCTCTTATCTAGAGTTCGTCGCAATCTCGAAGATTCGGCGAAAGCGGCTCGAGCGTCGCGTGATCGGGCGAGAATGAACACGCACTTTCTAGAAAACAAAAGCAGGAATAAATGATAGAAGTTACGTGCGGTACATGAATAAACGAGAACTTTCTGGAGGTCCGTGACCGAGCGTTGCTTTCTCAGCCCTGGGCGCGGCAATATAACCACGTTCCATACCACACATTCTCTTTCTGGCATGGACCGTTACAGTGCATAGGAGGAGGCTATATGGTACAGTTCCTTCTATGACGCTTCGACCGAAGGCAACGGAGATGACGGAGCATTAAAAAAGAAAACAAAGAAAATGTCTCGCTGGGCCATCCGGAGTGCTTAGTCAGCATCGTCGCAGATGCTCGGCGGTGAAAACCTTCTGCTGGCTCTCCTCACTTGGCCTAGCAGCAGTGCGGCAGCTGACGTAACAAAACGAAACGCGCAGGCTTTAGTTTCTAGAAGGTATTGACTAGGCTGTGGCTACCAATGGATACGCCCTATACTCCCTAGCGGTGGTAGGGAGTATCGGGGGTATAGCTTCTGTCTTTTACTAAGTGTAACTTAGTAAAAGACAGAAGCTACAGTCTAAATGAGCCACTAACACCGACAGAACGAAGAAAATGACAACACTCCACACTCTCCACTCTCCACAGAACGCTTTGAATGGCTCGAAGCGGCCTTTAAGCATATGCCAAGTCATGCTGACTAGGTGTGCGTACTCCAACACCTCTGTGTAAAGCTAGTCAGCAGTACTGAATCTAGTGATGCTATAGTACCTGATTGGCTGACCCCCAAAATGACGCAGCGTTTCAGCTATATAAACGCTTCGTCGTGACGAGGTTGTCTATTCTGCTTGCTATGTCGAATTGCTATTTTACGAAGTAACGTTAAAGGGGCACTGACACATCAAAATCATATTTTTTTTTATTATCCGAAACGATTGAAAACGATGCCGGGACATTACCCTCAAAATTTGAGATTTGGGAATTCAGTATTCGTGAAGTAAAAAAACAATTTCCAAATGCCGAATTCGAAGTTCCCGCGCGATCGGCGCCGGTGCCTTGACGTCAAAAATCGCGGAGACCTGAGAGTCGACTTCCTTTCACCACTCCCGGCTGTTGCCATGGCGACCCAAAGCGAGGAGGAAAGGAGCGAGCGCCCGCGTTAAAGGGACACTGACAGGGTATTTATGCTCGCCGAGGTTTTTAGTTGTACGTGACATATGAGAGCTCAACTACCCAGAACAGAATTTGCGCCTCGAAATTCGGTTTCTTTCCGCCCGAAAACCGCCGATCAAGAATTGGCCGGTTCGAGTCTCGCTCACTCTCTTTTTCGCGGTCACGGGCCGTTTTCTAAGGTATCGATGCGACCACCAAATTTAATCAAAGTCGTGGGTCACTGAAGGCACACACTCAATATTAAAAATAGAAAAAAATATGAAACCCATTTTTTGTGGCTTCTAAAAAGCTGTAAATACGTTGATTGAAAAAAAAAGTTCCACAGACAACCGGAAGCATTCTGTGCGTTCGTCGTTTCGCGTATCGTGGGACTCGCGGGGACGGCGATGGCAGCGGACGACGGGCGTGGGACCTCTATTTCAGAACTGTCGTTCGCGGTACCGGCGAATTCTGTCTACCGTTAAAAGAGAAATTTGGGACTGATCAAAAGAATTGGTATTCATCCCGTACGACACGCCCTGCCACCAAGCCGATTTGCACGAAGACGTCGCCGAGCCGTCGCTCCCTTCTCGTGGCTGAAGACAGCGCTTGCGCAAACGTCAAGCACGACGTGTCTACTTCGAGTTGAATATGCACGCGTACGATTTCTTTACTAGGTGCGAATGTCCGCAAAGCGTGGTGCTTCCCGACTTCGACCCGGGATTTATAGAGAAAAATCGACAGCAAACTTTCCAACTTACAGTTTACCGGCTGAATTATTACTAAGAAAGAGATCCACCAGAAACGAGATGGCCCAGTAGCTCAGTGGGAAAGACGACCGCTTCACACGCGGTAGGACCGGGTTCGATCCCTCGTGAATTTTTTTTTTTTTTTTTTGAAACATTTTTTGATGTTTACGTATCTTTTTCTTTTTTTTTACAATCATCACTAAAGAAACGGACAAAAAAAAATAACAAACAAATGTTGTGGATGATACTTCGCTGAATTAAACGGTATGGGATTTCCGTTTTGACACCTGCGAACTCAATGTAATCACTTTCCACAAAATGCAAGGAGCATATAAATCAGGTAGCGTCCGCTTTCCGAGGTGCCCGTAAATGTTCTACAGGAATTGCAGCCAGCCATTGGTCCCGATCCCGTTGATCTTTCGGAAACTCTGTCGCAGGACATGCAGGACATGATGCAGGACATGTGAGCCAGCTCTTCACGCAACATCTTGGGTTTATTCTTTTCGGAGCCGATCATGGAAATTCACCACGGACACTCACTACTCATCTCGAACTCCTCAATGTACAAAACAACTCATCTTGGAGTACAGAACAACGAGCAGTTCCCGCACGCCGCATCGCACGCCGCATGTTGTGTCGTCTGCTACCGGAAAGGAGAAAAAAAAAAAAAAAAAAAAAAAACCGCACGGTCGGGTGTAGCCACGTGACTTCTGCCAGTCACTCTCTTCTCTCCACTTCTCTGACCTCCGTCGGGTTTCGGTTTCGAGCAGTTGCGTCTTTTGGCTTTGTTAAAAAAATACGCTACTCTGTTGCAAAATATTAATTGGGTAGTCCTCCGACACCATAATGAAGCGCCTGGCAAAAAATAAAAAAATTTTTTTGGGGGGTGTCAGTGTCCCTTTAAGGCGGACCGGTTTTGAGCGGTGTCGCCTGTTTTCCGTTGGAGGATACAAATCCAGGAGACGGCACCACAACGAACTCCCGATTTTTGGTATTTCAAAAAGAAGGGCCGTAGTGCGTTCGCAATTGCGTTAAAAAACATGTTTTAGGATTGCCGTAATTAAATGTTATAGAGATGTCGCCTACAAAGCTTCTAAATTTCCTGATTTTTGACATCACCGATCAAAAGAAGCGAGGAGGCGAGAGGCGGGAAAATCAAACGCCAAAAATAAAAAGGCGCGCGCGCGCGCGGGAAAATTTTTTTTCGCGATGCGGTTTTTTTTGCGTGTCTATGACTGCAACTTGCATCGTTTTAGACAATAAAAATAAATACGACCTTTGGGGTGTCAGTGCCCCTTTAAAGGGTAACTGCAAAGAAAAAAAAGTTTTTTTTTAAACAGCCTAATCGGGACAAGCATGTCACAAAACAAATGTTCCGCGAAAAAAATGATTTTTTTTTATGAATATTTACGCCACAGGACGTAATTTAGTAGAGTCAGAACCTCTCCACATTTGAAACTCCCGCTCTTCCGACCCCCGCGGAAGAGGAGTACGCCCCGCCCCTCACTCTCCTTGCGTTGCGGAGTTGAACGACGCAGCGTCTCGACTTCCGGCAAGATCTGGCAACTACGCCACTACGCCAGGCCGCGGTGCTGGCGGTGCCGCGGTATTGTTTTGGTTTGACGCGGTTTGCGAGCACATGTAGCGAAGACGTGACCGGAGAAGTGCCCCTGTGATGTTCCCGGAAGACGGAAAGTATCGTTCGTAATCGTCGTGCGCGCTTTGAAAGCGAAGGGAGTCACAGAATCCACGAGTGCGCAACCACAAGCCAAGGTTCACGACAGCGCTGCGTTGGTTTCGGCGATCTCGTTCCGTTTGGTGCAACACGGCGATGCGACATAGCTGAAACGTTCGTGGTGTGTGTAATGCGGTGCTAACACGGAGCGCAAATTGGTTGTTGTGGAGTTGACGTTCAACCAGTTAAGTCCCGTCGTCGTCAGCTGATCCAGTCAAACTGGTCCGAAAGGACGCTGGTAGCGTTTTTAAAAGTAAATCTGCCTCGTTCTGTTTCAAAATGTGAAACTTTCCCGACGCATACCGTGAGTAAAAAGCTGCGGGCGTTTTCAACAAAATTACGTCGTTTTAATTTGATAATGGACTCCGAATTGTTGTCCTAAATCTGCCGTTTTTATGCTTCGTGTTGTTGGACTGCGTTTGCACAGTGACGTGTTGCATCGTGCGGTGTGAATAAATTTGGGCACGATTTCGTACCTGCCTACAGATGCATGAACTGACACCATTTTTACGTAGTGGACATAGTGCTTTTTTTATTTTCTGTCTAGTCGCGGACGTTAGGTGCACACGGGGCGAATCTCGACGGCCTCCAGATCGATATGACGAGAACGTAACTAGACACGTTGGTCGCTACGCGAACGCCCGATTGCCTCCAGCCAAATAGCATTCTTTTCGGGGCGACATGGCTGCTGGAAGGCTCACTGTCGGGATCACGCATCTGACATCTCCGAAAAGTCAGCATTTGCACGCGCAAACAAAAAAAAAAAAAAAAAAAAAAACCGCTAAGCACGCAAAGAGGAAAACGAAAGAACCGCGCTATGAAAGCCAAAACCCCGCGTCGCTTCCTATCACTAACACCTGCGACAGCTGCTAAACACACACTACTTCACTTCAAGAAGTCTCACTCAAGCACCTGGGTCAGCACGAAAGGACGAAACAGTGATCACTTCGGCGAAACGATTAGTCGAGGTAGGCGAGACAGGCGGGTGCAGAGACTTCGGCGGCCATGACAGAATGGCGAAGCTTTTGTTTGTATGAATCCAAACGGAAGTGCCCGTCTTGTAAACCTTTTGTAAAGAATAATAACTCTCATCACATGGGTTATTCTTTAAACGTAAAAATATGCCGCTCAAAAGGAAATTGCAACATATAACAAAGGTTTAACAACCGTATCTAAGCTGTCAATCAAACTCTTAGCCAATGAGAACCTTTTGGGATTGACGTCACATAATCACAACTTCGTGGCGCGCGATTTAAAACGGACGAAATAGCCGCAAACTAATATGAGTCTCACGCAATAAATATTGCTGTAAAAAATTTTTTTTCTCGCGGAAAAATTGTTTTTTGACGTGCTTGTCCCAATTAGGCTATTTCAAAAAAAACTTTTTTTTCTTTGCAGTTACCCTTTAAGGCATAGCCGTGTGCAGAAAGAGTTTGGTCAATGGGAGAGGGGGCGCGGTCAGAGCCAGAGTCTGCACCGGACGCAGAGAGGGGGCTTGAAATGCTCTTTTGGCCAAACAGAAGCCGAAAAGAACCCCCTAGCGGTGGTAGCGAGAAACAGTTGTAATCATTTGGTATATGATTTTAATAAACGCGTAATAGTTAAATGTAGGAACCCTTCCTGGTTGAAAATAGGGTGCACGTGATGTTTTGATTCTGATCATGCAGAAATATCTAAGAAATGAATATGCCGCTCGAGCCCTGTTTTGTTTGGACAGTGTGTGATTGCTCAAACGGCAGATTCCCGGCCCTCGGCGCCTGGCGTACGGATGATGTAGATCGTTCCGCTAGTTGCGCTCTTCCACCATGCTCTTCGATGGACCGCGATTGGAACATCACGTGCACCATATTTTAGGTAACCAAGAGTTACTCCGATGCATTAATTAATTCTGTTTCTCGCGACCACCGCCAGGGTATTATTTCCGGCTCCTAGTGGGTCACATTCGAATTTATGAACAGGCCTTTAGAACACGCCCAGCCCGTTTCCGGCCAATGGCGCCTCCTCATTTGTCTCCTATACTTCCCAGTGAATGGCCAAACTCTACGGTATCCAGCCTCTAAAATGAGGGGTGTACGTGCGATTTGCGGCTCAAATAAAAAAAAAGGTGTAGCGTCATCCTCAGCTACAACTCTGAAAGAGCCGGTGTCGCTAAAGCCCGGTGTCGCGAGTTTTCCAAGCACTGTGCATGCTATGAATGACGCAGCGCTATGCGATTCGAACTACTGTTTGCACACCCCCACTAGAATTCCTATATTGTCGTGTTCATTTTTGTTATGGCGCGACAATTCGCTATTGCTGGTGACACGCTTTTCGGTTTGTGCAGGTTCGAGGAGGCTCTGGTGGCCTACTGGTTCCTGTTGTTCCCGTTTTACTACGTGTCCAACATCTCGAAAACCTATGACGCAGAGTACGATAAACCGCAGTTTTTTTAATTTAATTTTAACAAGCACACCTGCCTCGGCTTAGATCGACTCCATTTTGTTAAACGCTGGAACCACAGCTAACAAGATTTTTCTGGCTTTACTTCTCAAAGCAACCAAGCCTAGGAAAGTGACGTAGTTCCACAAGTATTATAAACGTAACTAATGACGCGAAACACCAGAATTTAAACTTTCCTTCTTATTATCCTTTTTCTTTTTTTTTTTTTTGCGCGGGAATTTTTGCGAGGATGTGTAGCCACAGAGAGAACGCTCGCTCATGAGCTGTTTTCTTTTTCTTTTTTTTTATACTGTCAAAAAAAAAATTTTGGTATACATATCCATGTACGTTCCTAGTGCTTGGTATAGTATTTACTACAGATGACGCAGGAGTGATATAGCTTCAGTTCCAGGGGGGTGTGAATGCAGGTTTGTATCGGATGGCGCTGTGTCATTGCAGGCCTGAAACATAGCCTTCTATATACTGACAAAGTCTGGCAGATCGCCACGAGAAGCGGCCGCCGAAATGGAAAAGGTGGAGCGGCAGACAACGGATGAGAGGAGAGCCACGTGACTGGCGCCCCGCTGCGGCGAGACGCCGAAACACACTTCTCCCGAGCGAACAAGTGTGTTTCGGGTCCTCGCCGCTGCAAAAGCTGTGCGCTTACGTCCAGGTTCCTCTATAGAGTTCCTGTATATTCTCCCTACGGGAGCCAGAGTTGCGCGTCTGTTTTCCACGTGCGGCCACGCCGCTATTCGCCGAGATCCGATCATGTGAGGAGTCGACTCAAATGCCATGCAGGAAAGTAGACGCTGAGTGCGCCCCGCCGTACGTTCCCCTGTTTTGGAGCGCACCGCGCGCCTCGAACGGGCGACGCCGCTGCACACCGAATTCAGTCACTTAAAGGACAACTCCGCTCAATTCCAGGAATTTCGGGGTTTTTGGTGATTATACATTAAGGTATACTAATAAACGGCTCGACGTCGTTTGTTTCTCAAAAAAGGAAATATAATTCTCGTAATCCTTCTTTACTCCTGAACACGAACCGAAACCGAAACTGCGCCCGCGCCTGGCAACATTGGTCCCGCGTCGTCATAGTCTGGGACAACCCACGTGGTACGAACGTCACCGGACGACCTCGCCGACCGCGCGGACGGACGGATCGGCGGAGCAAGCGTCGTCGCGCCGTGTCGTCTGCTCCACGGTCTTTGCTATCCAACGACGTGTGCACTACCGCGGCCGCAGAGTGTTTTGACGCAGAAAAAGGCAAGTTGTTTTAAAGTTATGTTTTGGAACCATTAGTAGTTGAAGTTAAGTAAACCACTCGTAATATGCCAGGCATCGCAGCACAAAACGTTGCTCCGAGACGCAGCAGCACCGCGCTCGTCGTCTTCCCGACGACGAGCGCGGTGCGCTCGCTCAGACGCTCATCAGCGCATGCGCGTTTTGGATCACGTGGACATCGGTATGCACGCTGCTGGCGCCGCCTGTAGGCTGCGCCTCAATAAAGTAAAAAACAAGAAAAAAAGCGGTCCCAGACTATGACGTGCGGCGCAGTGTTGGCTGCGCCAACACGCGGTATTGACTGCGCTGTTCTCTGCGCCGCACATCGGCCGCTAGAATTAGCAGATTTCGGAGACTTGAGGCATCTCAAACTTTGTTTACCAGTTTAACAAACTTTTAGGCTTAATTACGTCGTAAAACTTGACGTGTAGTCTTTCTAGGTGATACTAAATAGAACTGCGTTGTTTTTTCAGCATCGAAAATGAAGCGGAGTTGCCCTTTAAGGAGCAGACTCCGAATGCCGTGCCGGAAAGCCGGCGCTAGAGGGATGAACGCGCAACTCTACCAGATCCTCGCTCTCCAAATTTGCGACCGGGAGGGGGGGGTCCTATGGCTCCGTCGTTGAACTGGCAGGCCTCGTGAGTATAGAGGAGGCCATGCCTTAAAGGGGTACTCCGCCGATTTCTTCATGGTCCCCGATTTGCTTGAAATTTTGTTAAACTCGCCAAACAACATCGCCAAAATAGTATCCCAAATATTAGGTCAAAATATTTTTTTTTTTCACGAAGTTATTGAATTTGCAATTTTGGTCCTCACCGTGTTCTTCAAACTGAAAGTCTCTACTGGCAACGACGAAAAAGTGACGTCATTGGAAGTGCAGGGGTTCACTTTTTAGACTGTAGAATTTGTTCCCAACTGATTCGAAGCAGTTTCATTGTGTCAAATGAATGCTTTGGAAGCTCGCTCCAGTCCCCGCGCTCCAGCACGGAACAAATGATTGGCATATTCTATTTTTTAGACTGCTCGCCCGACTGGCAAGCTTGCCTTCCACTGACGTCACGGCACTGAAAAGGGCGGGTATATTTGAATGTTGGTTTTTGCGTCATTTTCATTTGCCGATTTCGCAATAACTATTAAGAATTTCACGATACCAAATAGCGTACCAGAAAGGGTAAAGGCCGGGGAGTCAGAAAATATAGTTAGTTGAGGTAGCTCAAAAATCGCCGGAGTTAACACTAATAACAAAACAGGGCCGGCGAACAGCGTCTCAGCTGAAACTGGGTGAAAGAAAGCACTGTAAAGGCTAGGGCGCGCGAGCCTCTTAAGATGCGGTTCGAGTCCCGTTCAGCTCGTCTCGCACTGTGAAGGTTACGAAGGACACAGTGCTGTGCCCCATTTGAGCCTATAGCCGCTTTGCAGCAGCTGTGCACGGACGCCGCCATAACTGACCTTCAGTTTTTGTTTCCTCTTATTACGTTTATTTCACTTCATCATTACCATAGCAGGCCAGGTTATTGCCATATTAGATTCAACTGTGTCCTTTTCTAAAGCATCGGCCTTTGTACAGGATCGTCAACTACCGTTTCAATTGCTCGGCATCTCGGTGAGACAAGAGAAGGTCAGCTATGGCGGCTGTAATTTGGCGCGTGTGTAAAGCGCCTATATTCGCACACCCCCTTCAGTTATACATATATACTCTTTTCACTCTGAATTATAGTGCGGTGGGACCAATGAGCTACACGATCGCCGGGCCAGTCAACCGCCTCCCTTTCATAACCGTATCCCGCAGTTTGCATAGTGATATGGGCGCGAACATGTTCACGTAGCGAAAGGTATGACCTGGTCAAAAAAGAACGTCGCTTCCACCTCATTAGAAAGTTTTAGAATAGGGTGCACGCACCGACGCTTTGGATCTGCCAAGCAGCTTGAAGGCGGCACAAAGCGGATGCGCAGAAGCACTAAGCTTGCGCAGTGCGACGCTCCAAGCTGCTCGGAAGGCCCAAAGCGTCGGTGCCCCCTATCGGCAGTCCCACCTGATACCTGAAAGAAAGCTGGAACGCAGACAACTGGAGGCCCCGCTCCTGGGTCTGTCGGCCATCGCCATGAGCATGCTGCCGCGCAGAAGCAGGTGGTTCTGGGCCCGGCACCGGCTGGCGCCCTGGGAGGTGATCAAGTCGCGCATGCCCTGGAGTGTCATCGTCATGTACGGCTCCGTCTCGACCCTCGCACTTCTGGCCGAGGCGAGTCTCGGCAGCCCGCGTGTTCGTTCTCATTAATGAGTTTGGAGTATTGCGTATACGAGCAGACGCAGGCGCCGTGAGTTTCCGTTAGCGTTGCGGGTTCCACGCTGCGCGTGCGCCTATAAATAACTGTGGACTTGTATCGGCGCATGGCGACGACGCCCATGCGCAGCGCGGAGCAGGCGACGCTAGCGCAAACGCACAACGCTTGCGCTGGCTCCTATAGGCAATACTAACAAATTTTAATGCACACAATATTTTTTTTTTTCGTGTAAAGGCGGCATTTAGCGGCTAATTCGTGAACGTCGTTTTGAAGGAATTTCGGCCTCGGGAATAACCTCTTGGAGAAGCGTATACATTACCGGTCGATCGAAACAGGATCATTCCGACTGTGCCAGACAATCGAAAAAGTACAGGAACGCTTTCCACGTCCCGGTCAATGGTAGGCGAAAAAGAAGTTTCGGTTTCAGTATGCACAAAAGGAGGCCGGTGACAGTTGACTCTACGTGACTAAGTGAAAGTTAGTGCGCGCATGCGCAGCACTCCGGAAAAGGTCCATCGCTCTTCGAGGTAGTGACGATCGTGTTCAAAAAGTATCACCTCGCAACGTAAGAACTTCGGGAAAAGTTCCGCATACACTGTAAACCAAAAATTGTAAACACTTACGCAACCCGTAAGGTGAAACACAGCGACAGCTGAGGTGTGACGACGGAGCCGCTAAGGTGTCATTTCGGAACAGACAAATTGAATGAACGGTAAAGGTGCGAGCGCGCACCATATAGAGTCCGCATGGGCCCTGTTTTGTATTAAACCGAGTAAGACACTGGACGAAAATTCCATAGCGTTTTGGAACCATTGAGGGTTCAAATTCAAATCCAAATTCAAATTCTTTATTTGACATTCCTTGTCGAACAAAAAATGCCAGGGCAGGAACAAAAAGCTACAATACAGTAGCTTGACGGGGTTCCTGCCCCTACCTTGGCACAACCAAACCGACAGTTTAAAATTGACAAGACATATGCACAGAAATTCAAACCATGAAAAATATACATGTAATCAATTTACATCAAATATAAACTAATACTGACATCGTGCACACTAAAACATGTATTCCGACAGTTCATACTATACAGGAAAAATATAAAGCAAATACAACAAAATTTTTGCACAATTATTCACTGTGTGAAAAAGTGTTTTTTCGATGTTTTTTTTACAAATGGTGTGTATATCAAGGTTCCTTTTCTCTAAAGAGTTTAGACAACTAGGCATGCGGTGTTGCAGCCTGTCTAACCCATGATTAGTACGGGAAAAGGGTACCAGCCAGGAATCCTTTTTTCTAATATTATACGATGCATCATGAGGCCTTTTAAGGTTATACAACTTGATAAAAGTGGAATTGTTATTTTTAATGCTAAGTTTATATTTCATTATTAGATTAAAATTGTATAAGTGCTGGAAGGGAAGCACATTGAGTGAAGCAAATAATTCTTTTGTGTGGGCATCGTATGGGGCATTTGCTATATGACGAATAGCTTTTTTTTGTAATAAATGCAACTTAATTTTGTTAACTTGCGACGTCACTCCCCAGACAAGGTTGCAGTAGTTTATATGGGATGCAAAAAGAGAGTTGTAGAGCATTAGCTTGACTTTAGTTGTTAGTATTTGTCTGAATCTACAAAGTATACCGCAAGCCTTTGCCAAGGTCCCAGCAACACGGTCCACGTGTGCATTCCAGCTTAAATGTTGATTAAAAGTTACTCCCAGTGTTTTGGTGTATTAAGTAGAGAGCATTTCAGCTGTCTGCGTTAGTAGGGAGCGTGTTTTCGTATACGAAAACACGCTCCCTTTGTACCGAAGTGACGTATACATCACTTCGGTACAAACAGTCACACGTGCTAAACGAAAAGCGCCGAATAAACGGAGATAAAGTAGACGAGATGAAAAGCACTCTCAAATCAAGGTTTATTGAAACAAACACTATTAATACCATCTTTCTGGTTATTCGTTCAGGAAATAAAACTATCTGTCAGGTCCACTGACGAGGTACTAAGTAGTTGGTTTCCCCTGCTTTCTAATACAGAATACATCGTAAAACTCTTAGGCAGGGCACACGCGTCGATAATAACAGCTATCGCTAAAAAAAACAAAAAAAAGTTTTGTGTGAAGTTTTGTGTTTCGAGCTTTGTTTTAATAGACGTGTGCCCTAAAAAGAAAATTTAGAAAAAATGGACCCAACAGGTGCTTTCTTTCTTCGTGACGTCACAGAAACGGTACAATCGCGAGGAGTATAGTAGGAACGCCATTTTGTTTTTCTGTGAATTCAAAGAAGGAGCCGCTCAAGCATTTCTTTTATTGCAACGAAGGATATTTCTGGGAAAGCTTCGCAATGTTCTGATTGGAAGCAAATGCTACTTTCCGCCACCATGTAAATAAACAATCAGTGCATACTTTCATTTTTTTACAATTAATTTTATTTGTTAAGATATCACCTTTCTAGCAGTAATGGGATATAAATCAAGCTTACTAATGAAGCTCGGGGCAGTTTATGCACATTCGAATCAGTGAACCTTAAACTTTATACACTCCATCTCACAGGTTGTCTTTACTGCTTGAAGGCAGAGGCAGGCGTGAGCACGTCGTTTTCAAGGGCGCTTTTCTATGGAGTACTTTGTCGCTAATTTGGACACTTGGAATCCGGCTGCCGTGATCGGCCGGTGCCGATCACGGCAGCCGAATTCCTCGCCGACTTTTTCTCCAAGTGTCCCGATCAGAGCCCCCCATGCTCGTACATACAAAACATTTTGTTGAGGCACGCCCTCGCCCGTGCCTTTGCCAACACTCATGCTTATTGTTAACCATTAGAGAAAATCGTTACATATAATTAAACAAAAGCGCGCAATTGTAATGGTGTGTTGTGTGTGTTTAAACAGCCGGAAAGTAGTTCGTCCTAATAGGCCGCTGATGTCTCAGCTGTAAATGAGAAATTTGGCCAGTGAAGTACCAACGTTAGCCCGGGATATTTAACGTGCATCACATAGTGATACACGACCGCGCACGCCGGTACGATGCTCACCCAAATCGACAAGAACGCGCAAGTCAGAGGCAGCTCGTCGCACACATGACTCGGAACACTTCGTGCCCATGTCGAAGTTTCAGTCCAATCCCCGATGCCCAAACTAAGTCGCTTTTCCGCGTTCAACCGTTCCAGGAGCACAATGTGGTCAAGTACATCTTCGACCGGGTGGGCCGTAAGTTCTGGCAGTACAAGTCTGTGCAGACAAATCAGCTCCTCCTCTGCCTGCTGGCCGCCTTCCTCTCCGAGTTCGTGGGCAACACCACCCTCAACAATCTCATGATGCCCATCGTCATCAACATCGTGCGTGAGACCACCTAGCCTCAGTCTTTCTTAGACTTAGGCTAGGTGGCGCTAGCTACCGCCCGCTACAAAGGGAATAGCCAGTAACATCCATCCATCCATCCATCCTCCACCAGAGCAGCACCACGTAGACACAAGGCCTCCGCACGCGTCATCACAGTCAGATCGATCGAGGCGTGAGATTGGGCACGGGTGCTGTGTCACTGTTCGGCTTAGGCTCGTGACCAATCAGCGGGTCCAAGGTCCGGCTCGGGCCCAATAGCCGAGTTAGCGAGATCCGACTCTGATGACGTTTCGAAGAGGGAGAGGAGACCATGCGGAGGCCTTCTGTCTAGGTGGTGTTGACCAGGCTAGATAAAGCTTGAACCAGTATTGCCAAGTCACGCTGCACATGCCAGCCGAACCGGATGAGCGAGGTGTTTGGGTTGTGTTTACATGGATGCGGCAGTAGCGCATCGAACTGAGGGGGAACCAACCGCACGCGCCCAGTCCCTGCTCCGTCCTCCTCTAGCAACACAATCTTCATATCTCGGTTCGACTCGCTAAGGTCGGATTCCTGTACCCGCAGCTATACATCATCACCGAAAGCTTAAGAAACACTGGGCGTGAACTATCACGTTCATCGTTCTTGCTTTGTGATTAGTTCTTCGGCGTCCTCGGTTAACGGCACAATCTCATTGAACGAAAACCGCTGACAGAGTCTTCTGGACGACGCCATGGTAAGGACGCGTATTCTAAAAGCGAACCTGGATCTGTACCGCGGTGATGAACTTTTCTGACCACGAATATAAGCTGCTTGTCACTGTTAGTCAGCTGACATTGTTTGCGCGCCCGAACGCTTCACCAAATCAGCATGGTGTAATACGCCAAAACAACAGGGACAAAAAAACGAAGGGAGAACTAGACAGGACGTTGCTTTGGCGTATTTGCATCACACCATGATGCAAAACCAACTAGCCCAACTAGCCATCCTTCACCAAATCAGGATGTGTGAGACGTATACTGGTTGATCACTGACGACTTGAGACACGCATGGCATGGTGTGATCATCTTTTTCTCGGGAGACAATCAGACTGTGGCAGACATGAATTGAACCAAGAAATGTAAACATAATAAGCCGCCTTTTTAAGCTGTCAGTGAACCTAACCGGAAGTGACACGCAAGAACGTCGATCGGCAGGTCAA